GTGTGTGTGTGTGTGTGTGTGTGTGTGTGTGTGTGTGTGTGTGTGTGTGTGTGTGTGTGTGTGTGTGTGTGTGTGTGTGTGTGTGTGGAACAGCAACAGGAAGTAGTGCCAGCAGGAAACACTGCAGCTGTATTTACAGCATTGTCCTCCATACTATGTCGTAGTGAACGGGGACATAAGACTAGCAGATGTGTCAAGGAAGAAATTGGAATGTCTCTGATTGCACTGATCGGCTCCGTGATGGACGTCATCTGCCAGAGGAGCTCTGTTTCTGCTCAGCACCTCAGTAAGGCGGGATTCTTGGTTGGATTATTGGTTATTCCAGCGTCTGCACCCAGCCCCACCCCCCTCCTGCACCCTGTGCCCTGTAGATTTGCTTTTAAGGCCTGTCTGTTCCTCTCCAGACTGCCAGAGCGACCCTTCCCATCTCCCTTGTCTTTCTCTCCCATCTACCTCTGCCCTGGTGGAGGCTCTGGAAATTGAAAACAGGTTAGGGTGTGTGGGGAAGAGAGGAAAAAGAGGGAGTGCAAGGTCTATCTTTGTCTGCTATCTGAGTCATTACCTTCATTGTTCATCCACAGCCTCTGCGGCCCTGTCTTTGGAAGAAATGGCGCCCTCTGTGGTTGCTTCCGCACTGTGCAGGAGCAGACATTTTCCTCTCATGTCTGCCTTTGAAATGGCCATTCTGTGTGTCATACTGGTAAAATGGAGTACCCTGCTCTCAGCTGGCACTCGTTCCTTTCTCACAGAGCATACCCCTGCAGTGGAAACCCCCAGTTCTTTTTTTCTTTAATTTTTAATTTCTCCACATATTTATAATGCATGCCTAATCATGTTATTTTTTGACTCTAATGCTTTTCCAGGCTGCCTGCAGCTGCCACTGCTGGGAGCTCTGCTATAACGCTGATTCACTGACCTCTGCAGTCTGACAGCGGAAATGCTCCAAATAATCAATTTTAGTGTTTAATAATAGTTCAGTAAAACACCGGAAAGTACTTATATAAACTGGGAACAGACTAATAACTGTAGTTGAAGACCAGTTGCATAAATAAGTGGAGCTTCACTAAAGTCCACACTGGGTCCCAGCGAGATGAGGGCTGATGCCGACTGGTCGTTTTTTCTTATGAAGGTTGCTGATTGAAATGACCTGGAGGTGTCTGTGTGGCAGACACAATAAAAGCTGTTTGAATTCCTTAAATGCTAAGGAAGGGTGCTTCAGTGCTTCCTTTATTACCTCCTTTAGTAGCAGAGTGTACACTGAAACATCCTTTATAAAAGAAAATAATACTGTCCCACAGTTTCAGTAAATTAGGTGTGTTTTCTTTTTCACACAATAGTCTGTTGATATGTTTTGAGCCTTCATCAGCTGGCTGTGTTAAAACCTACATGTGACCTATGAACATCAAACTGCAATAATAAAACATGCTGCTTGTCAAGTTGTTTCCTGGTGTGAGGTTGGGGGATTTTTACATGAGAAAGCTCAATAAATAAAGATTATGTGAGTTTGAAGTTCACCACAATTCAGTTGAGTGGACAGGATGAGTAATTAATCTCAGTGAGATAAATATGTTGTTTCACTTCATAGGCTGTTTAGTCCTTTTTATTTAAAATTACAGCCTTAGATATAAAGTTGTTTTTCATTGGTGTTTCTATTTAATTTGACCTTTGTGAAAAGAAATTAGTTTGTTTTTGTCCCCCACCCCAGTCCAACCTAAGGACAATTGAACAAGATAAGACCATGAAAGCAACTCGCTTGTTTCACAAGCCTGAATTAGACCTTGCAATCAAAGCACAATGATTAATCTTTAACTTTGATCTTGCACATATGTTTGTAAGGCTTAACAAGGTGTGTAGAAAGTTTCATTAAAAACAATGTACTTAAAAAAAAAAAAAACTACTTGTACATTGCAGCCTTTTGAAACCCCCCTCAGCTCCTCCGTACTTTGATTTGACTCTTTTCAGTGCATCAGCTTCGAGACTCTTCCTTGCTATTGGTTGTTCCTTATCTTTGTGCATATGTGTGAATTTAAACACCAAAATAACAGCACATTTAAGACACATGGCTAACACAGGGCATTTACTCGCAGTAAAGATGTAGTAGTAAATAAGAACTTTATTTATATGATAGAGTCCTAAAAGGGAGATGAAAAAATGGTGAGAGATACAGCATCACATAAAAGGAAGCTTATAAGAACGTGGTTTTAGATTTCACTGGGTTTTTTTTTGCCTGGCTCATCTCCTCAGACTGGTGGATCGAAATCCATCAGAGGTCCTGATGCCTCAGTTCAGATTGTCTGCCTGCAGCATAAACCTTCCTTTTTGTTGTATTCTGTATTAGCCCGTTGGCTTTTTTTTTTTTTTTTTAGGTGTGCCTGTCTGTCTAGTTCAATGTGTCTGTGGAATTCAAACCATTGCTACAGCTGGTTTGGCTCAAATAAATAGAACCTAAAGTAGTGAAGAGTAGATTTGATCTGGACACACGTGACACAAATCACTATCACCCAGAGTATCTTCTGTTGACCATAACTTAAACACTCGTGTCATCCCCCCCCTGCAGATGGAAGCGAGCAGAGAGCCGCTACACCGTGGAGAGAGCTGCCATCATCAGCCACTGGAACTGGCTCCAGGCCCACATCTCGGACTTGGAGTACCGCATCCGGCAGCAGACGGACATTTACAGACAGATCCGCGCCAGCAAGGTCGGTCCTTCCATTTATTAGACACGTCTGTGCATTTTAGTTTGTTTTGTTTTTTTTCTCTGATGTGCAGAAAAATCTTCCACCAAGTGTAATAAAATCAGAAAAGAGTCCTTTTATGTGTATTTCCACTGACACTGTAGGATGAAGAAGCTCTGTGATGCATTTTAACTTGTATTAATTTCTTTATCTTTGAATTGAAAGTATAACTCTCATCTCTCGATTTCTCAGGGCTCAGTAGAGCTGGGAGGTGTTTCGCCAAGTGGGGTGCTTGCAGGTGGGACAGAAGTAAAAGCAGAGCCTGTAAACACTCAGGTAAACAGATTTGTTTCTTTAAAAATTGTCTTTTTAATAGAACAGTAGCTGCTAGTGGCTTAAAACCATTGTTTTTATTCTTTTTGTTGACCTTTTTATTGTTTTTACATAATTTCTGTCACATGTATTGTTGCATTTGTACATGGTCACATGAAATAGGACAAACATTTAAAAAAATGAGGTCACTGTATGCACGAGTAATCCCTGTGAGTCAGTCTCATAAAGCAGTAAACAGTTCAAGACAGAGGTTGTCTTTAACCCTTTAGAGCCGATCGGAGCGGGAACGCTCTGTTATGCGTAACTATTTTTAAATCCCAGTAGCTCTGCAACCACGTAAGCTAGCGCAAAAATTTTTTTTGCATATGAAACCGGAGGAGTTGTACTTACATCTTATGCCATCAGCTTGTCCTAGGTCACGGTTTCCTTCCACATAAAGCTTTGCAAAAACTGCATAAAAAGCGCTTGCAGGGACAAAAACATAATATTCCAGAAACACGCTTTACCGATCCGATCAGCTGTCCATAACACTTCCTACGTTGGAATAGACGTCAGCGCGAACTTTTGCATTTCCGCCATTACCTGCCCGAAACCGGAAGTGACGTCATTTTCGCGGAAATGTAGTCTTTTTTGCGATCAGGGCCTCAGGGCCTATACTGCTCTTTTTAAAAGTTATCTTTCTGTGTCGTTTCTGGGATGCTTAGGACTCATATTGCACTGCTGGAAATAGTTTATTTTGATGCATATGCTGCTTTTTTGCAAATTTGCAGTATAATATTTATTTTTGTTTTTCCTGCAGTGTATAAAAATTGGTGTATTTCAAAAATAAAACTATGAAGACACTCAAAATAAATTTCCTGTGGTGGGAAACTATTTTGTGCAACTTTTTTGTATTTACAGATTTGAGGGATAAGCCTCTTAAATTTCTCTAACTACAAATATATGTTAAATAAACCAAAAACGATTTTCAATGTTTTTTGTAGTTTATTGCACTTTTTTGCAATTTATGTAATTACTATGCACTTAATGAATACATATTATTAAAATCTGGGCTATAATGGTTGTATTGATGTATAGCAACTTGAAATGCTCCCAAAAATGGCTCCACAGCATGTAAAAATATAATATAAGCTCTGGCGGACTTGGTTCTATGGTAGGTCTTAAAGGGTTAATCAACCCAGCCACTATCTTGGATAGATTAGACAGACTGTTATCAGTTAAAATGGCAATTTTTACTATTTTTATATCCTTTTGATTTAGAAAAACATTTTGCCTGCATTAAAATACAACCGCTGACACGGTTTTCATAGCCCCCCCTTTCTTACTTAGCAAGGCTGATCCCATCATCTCAGGTACACAGCTCTGGCTGCAAGTTGCACAAGCTCCACCCACCAACTGTCCAAACCTTATTTTTGAGATGCACAACTAATCAGAATAAGTTGAAACTGTTTAAGACGGAGGATGAACCGAGATGAACTGAAAGCTTAACAAAAGGATTATTTTTGAATGAAGATGAGTTTAAAGATTTATGTAAGAGGCGAGCCTCAGATCAGTTTTTGTGAATACAAAGGGAAGAATACAAAAACAAAATTAGACAGCAGTAAGGCTACAAAATTTTCTTCTTGTTCTTCCAACAAATAGAAAATGGTGCAAGATAAAATCTTTAGCCTTCATCAATTCTTATAAATAACCCCATTCATTCTTGGCTCAAGTGTATAATGTAAAGATAAATAAATATTAATGAATGAATATTAGTTGTAGCCTTTATTCAGCACTTTGATCTTCGGATGCTGTGTTAGTGGGTAAATATAAGCAGCTCTGCTTTAGTCTATCCCCGAGAATGACTGAAATATTGAGCTTGTTTGTTTTCACACAGGTGGAAATGAAATGTTAAGTGTTCACGGGAAATTGTGTTCTTATCTGTTCCTCAGGTCTGACCGAATCAAAGCAGTTTAGAAAGGAAAAAAAGCTCCCTAACCCTCAGATCCAAATAATTTCTCTTGATGAGTCGGCCTGTCTGGGTGTTTAAATTGTTTATGTCTGTTCAGCTGCAGCTGTGCAGCCTCCCATTGCAGCGGTGTACATTTGCTCTACTGCATGTTGAACCTCATTAAATTAAATGTTTTTCTGTCTTTAAGGTAATCCGATTTGATAGCAAAGCTGCTATATAAATGGCAGTTGTTTATAGTAGCATGTTTCATTATACTTGACATATTTAACACAAGCTTTTAAAAAACTGTTTAAAATAAAAATATCAAAATGTTGCAAAGACGTAAAGTATAAATTAACACACGCTCAGCTATTGAGTTGAAATGATAGAGAAATGTGGAGCAGATGTTTGTGAAATGAGACAAGGATGACTGGAATCATGAAACTGTTCACTTGTGTAAAAGCTTGCGGAAAAAGTGCTTCAGGTTTTTTATCTTGATGGTTTAAGCCTTGGGAGAGTGAAGGCCTTAGCCCAAATCTGGACTGAATAATTCAAGGCCACAGGACCAAGATGATTTAGTTTGTCTCTAATGCAGTTTCCTGAAATACCGCCGGCTGCCTGAGTGTTCAGTGTGGTCAGCCTGCCAGTTAACACGAGGTGTAGTCTAACTGGTTTTGGTCTTATCTGTCGATGCAGGACGCCGGTTCAGAACGGCTGGAGCACATGGGCACCGCCCATATCAGCAGCACAGAGCCGGGCCCTTGGAAAGGTCAAAACGGGCAGCCAGTCAACGGCGTCCTCAGCAGGTACAGCTGCTAATGATTACCTCATTTTGAGTTCTCGGAAAGGCTCGCTGCCTTTCCAGGAAACGCGAGAGGGGAGTCCTTCGTTTGGATTTGCAGTTAGAGAGATGCTGATTTTAGCTGGAGTGATTAGTAGAAAAGTAATTAACCTTTTTCACAGCAGACATTTCAGCTGGAAAAACATCCACGTTAGTCATCTTTGCATAGTGGTGTTTTGCTGTGGTAATAAATGGACCCAACTATAATATTTGTCTCATGTGCTTTTCACGCAATCACAATATCCACTATGGACAAAGCTTTGTCTGTGACTTTTGTTTTTTGTAGTCTTAATACTGCATTTAAAAACAAAACAAAACTGGCACATCTTCTAAACATCAGCTTCCCTGAACTCATTTTTTTCTTAGCAAATGTGAAAGTGTAGCTGGTAGATGCCGCCTGATGAGACATGAAACAGTCTTTAACCTCCAGCTCAATAGTGCAAAGTTTGTTGAACTGCACCTGTGTTTGAATCAGGGATTTTTATTTAGTTTATTTTTGTTTCTGTTGTGTTTAGTTTTCAGGATGATTTTCTCCGTTTCGGTTTTGTTTTGATTATTAGTTTCAGTTATTTTTTTTCATTTCACGCAGTCAGTGGACACAGTCCTGTAGATCAGTGAACTTCTGTACAAAAATCGACATAACATTTGTTTTTGTAAGTGTGCATAGGTTGTTTTTCACCTGGTTTTGGTTTTAGTTTCATTTTAATTAACTGTAATGACCTCTGTGAGAATGAAGTGAGTAATAATCGTGTGAGCTCAGCCTCCTACACGCTGTGCTCAGGCAGCTTCCTCATTGCTGATGAAGGTTTCTAAAGCAGGCCATCTCCTGTTGTTAGTGCCATATGAGAATAAGTCATTCCTTTTAAAATTACGGTAACCAAATAGGAAGCCACCTGACAGAATCGGCTTTACTTTCAGTAATGACTTCAGTGGATTTTAATGAAGCAGTACAGAATTTTACCTTCATGCTGTGAATAATTTGCTAAATACAGGCTCTTTAAATGTCGATGGGTGAATCGGAGTTTCCTCTTTTTCAAGTAAAGGTGATATTTACAAGAAATTGTCAGCCCTGAAAATTACATTTAAGCTCTGTTAACACAAAAGAAATCTCCTATCACATACTGACCTGTGAAAAGTGTATTTTGGATAAAGTTTCCTGTAGCGAACGCTTGTTTATGTGCCTCTACATCATAGACATTAAAATTGGTGCAGTTTTGCTCCTGAACCTGTGGGTTAGAGTCACTTGGAGTGGGTGTAGAATTGATTTGCTCTGAAAATGCACCAAATTTCAACCCACTCGTATGGTGCTACAACCGCATCCCAAGGAAAATTTTTATTGTGTAGGTTCATGCTAAGGTTTCTGAAGGGGCACCAGTTGACTTGAATTAATTATAATAAAAAGGTATCATAGGACAATGTATTGAATTGTGTGTCCAATGTTTGTGTGTGGAAACTGTTGAAGTTACATCCTGAAATATTCAGACTCTATAATACATTAGATTACGTATTGTTCCAAACACAAGAAAGAGTGTGAAAATGTCCTCACAGATGGTTATTTGTAATCCTGTCACATAGGGTCAGCTCACATGTCTTGTTATTATCTTGAAGCCTGAATCCAGAGTTTAGGATGCTTGATGTGCTCAGTGATTTCGATTTTTTTTTAATTTTAAAAAAAAATATTTGCAGTTTTTTGTTTTGCAAAGTTTATAATACTTTGGGCACTGTATCATACAGACTGTACAGCTGCTAGTACAGTCTGCTATCTCTGAGGTGTAGCACATCTGGCAGCTAAAGTCACATTGATGAGTTTTAAGCTAATGAGATGCACTCACAGCTACGAGCACGCCAGCTTTTAACAGGTGCTAAATCTTCTCTCCGTGTTGTAGGATGGCAGAGAGCACAGACGCCAAGCATCAGCAGCCGTCGGCCTACGACAGCACATGCGTGGCTGCACGTACGCGGCCGCTAATCAGCTGCCGCCGCCGGCGACTCATTCAGCCCAACACTGTGCCCAACCTTAACGGCAAGGTGAGTTTTCTGCTCTGTGTGATTATTCTTGAGTTTCACTTGAAAGAAGCTGCAAGGGCACACGCGTGTGAAGGAGTCTTTGTGGAAACGGTGCGAACATGCTGAATGTTCAGTTTTGCACATTTAAGAGCAGTGAAAGGGCTTTTTGTTAGACAGCGCCTAGTGTTTTAGGCTTCACTCTTCGGCTGGTGCGTGACCTAATAACTGAGTAAACGAGAGATGGGGAAAGTAGGGCATCTTTATTCAGAGTCGAACAACAAAGGGTAGTAATGGCCCCATGTGACGACTCACAAGTTTTAGTTGAGGGGGGAATAGAAACGTTTCTCTAATTGTTTACACCCCTCCCCACTCTCTGGGAGACTGAGTGTGACTTTAAGTCTCTAAATGTGTTGAGGCTTTTAAACTGAAAAATACTACTACTACTACAATTAGGCAGTCATATTTCTCCTGCTTGTTTTTATAAACAATATTTTTAAAAAGGAAAAAAAACAGACTTTCAAAGAAACAACAAAAAGGTCCTTCAAATCAAAGCATGGTGAACCACATGATTCAGAAAGAGAGAAAATCCTATCAGTTCAGCAGGACATAAGAAGCTTAATGCATGTTTTACATTAAACAACTATTTACATTATAAAATCCAAATCGTTCACAGCTGTCGTTTTAAAATGCTGTGCCTCTAAAACAGCTTCTCTTTTTTAACACGTTTTTATGATGTAGTGAAAAATAATCTTAATCATTTCATGATTAGTTATAAATAACCCCACTTTTATGTTTACAGAGTGTCAGTATTTACAGTGTTGACCTGATTGGTTTATGTTCCCTCCTTATCAAAGCCCCAGGTTGATCACTTTGTGGACTCATCGTCTTCCACTGATTCAGGATAGTTTGGTGATGATCTGTTCATCATGGAGCCCATCACAAGGCAAAAGTGAAACCAAGTGGCTCAGAGACCACCTGATTTTACACCAGGAAACTCCCTAAATCATAGCATAGAAACTTGAGGCACTACCACAGCTTCTTTAAAGAGTGTGCTGAAAGAGATTTAAATGTACTATATTAGTGTGTAATAATATGGTTGGTTTCAGTAGTGAGGAGGAAACACTGATTATTTCTGTGGGACGAAGTACAGCGAACTAAACCGGTGTCAGACACGTCCACGCGCGTTCATCTAGCAAAACACAATCAAAATAGGAGCTGATATCTCAGATGAGATGGAGGACATTTTCTGCAGAGGAACTTTTGAACACCAGTGATTTACAAATTCTAATAGGTATTGTCTGATTATATTGGGGGGGGGGTTCTAGTAGGAGGACCAAACTCATTAAATAGAGTGGAACACAAACTGAAATGGCTCAGTATGAAAAAAATGGCACAGCTAAATAGGAAAAAAATAGAATAAAATACAAAAGGTCAATGGAAAAGAAGAAAATCTAGATAAAATTCAACAAGGAGCTTAAGGAGCGGGTGCAGTCTGTTCTGTTTTTGTATCTATTAAAAGAGAAAGTTTCAGTAAAGTACCAGCAGAACTAATAATAGAGCAATTTTAAAAATGGGGGGAATAGACATAAAGCAGGCACACGGAGCATGACGTCAGCGGCTCTAAAGAGCAGAACATTTTCTGGCATGACTCACTCAATAAGTGTTTAACGGCCGTGTCGGTGAAGCCGCTGAATTATTAATAATCACAGCTTGGCTGTGAATGATTTGCAACCGCTCTCGTTTGTCCTCCTGGCAGGCCCCGAGGAGCAGCTGCATCCAGTGTAACTGCAGGGTTAACCCCACCTGTGTGATGTGCGGTGGCTGGCCCACCCCCAGAGAGGACCCTCAGTACGAGCTGCCCACCCTGGAGCGCCTGTCAAGGCTGGATCTTGGCGTCCACCCCATCCTCTCCTTCCCCGACGGTCAGTGCTGGTCTCAGAGCGGAGCTTGAGTTTACGCAGCCATTTCCTCCTTTACATTCAGAGGGGAAGACAAACAAGGCGTGGCTGTGAGCTCAGCAGGAAGTTCTGCTGAACATATTTAGTCATTTAGAGTCTTCTCTCTCTCTGCGCAGCAAGGAACTCACATAAATGAAGACAGGAATTTCTGACTTTACTGCAAATCAAAACATGAACAGTTTTACACGACACGGACAAATGAAGCAGTAGGTTTGGCTGAAGCTCACAGAATAGATTATCTAAGGTTGCAGTGTAAAGCACACAGCCTGGCGCCAGATTCAGCCTATCAGGACGTCTGATTTGCTCCCAGAGGGAGGGCAAAACTTTTCAGGCAGTTTAGTGTTCTATTTTTGCCTTTAACGATAAATAAAATGTGTAACCAACAAACCAATAAATGACAGGAAATAAGTTTTATTTTTTAATTATACAGGGGGAAAAGTGTAATTGTCTTAAGTCTGGGTTGTGGGCTGCTCGTCTGTTTTCCTGTAATTTAACTGGGTTATTTCTGAAACTCTGAGCCCAGAGGAGATGTGATGTCGTGTTTTCTTTTCACTGTTTAATCATTTTGTTTTTTCTTAAGCTATTTCAGGGTGTCTCATGGATGTAATTTTCACTGGGCACCTAAATTTGTTTACACTAAAACAAAGGGGGAACATTTTGGAGGTGACTTTAAAGGTTATTAGTGAACATTTGGACCGCTGCTCTGAGGCTTGTTTCATGTGAATCACTAAACTGCAGAAAACTCTTCAAGAGTTTATAGCACTAATTTTAGGAATATGTCTTTTGTATTCTTGGACTTGGCATGATTCATATTAAGGATGATAATTTCACCCACCCTCCACCCCAGACTACTTGAAATGCTATATTTGTGGCAGATATTTGTGTTTTTTCTCCTGTGAGTACAGCAGCATGCAATGTCACAGCTCCATACAGACCTTACCAGTCTGATCCCTGGTAGCTACAGTGCTTTCTTCTCCTGTTCTTGTTGCTTAATGGTGTCTGGCAGCCTGTATGTGCGTTACTGCTGCGTTCTTGTTCTAGTAGTAGTGCTTCAGTAGTGGATATTCCCTCTGGGGTTAAAAAAACAAACAAAAAAAACCCTGAGGGAATATATTTATTAGCTGAAGTTGGGCTGCACTGTGATGTAATATCAGTTTATGCTACTGTGTGCTCATCTGAACCTCAATTTGCCTAAAAACGCTCAACACTTAACCCTCATTACATTTGAGTTTTAACACATCCACGGAAAACTTTGCCCCCTGGTGGGGGTAATGTGAGTGTAGTTACAGAAGTGCCCTCAGTTTGTCCTCCTGTGTGAAAAAAGTAAGCTCCTGATTGGCTGCCCCTTGGAAACATCTGGAAGGTCGAGATGTGTGCCTGAGAAGAGCCAAGTGTAGAAAAAAACTGCCCGAGACTGAGTCAGCATTTATCTCGTATGCTGACCTCGTTAATTTGAAAGTTTCACCGTGTTTAACGTGAACCTCCGTCACCATAACAAGAACGTATTTGACAGAATATGAGGGAAAGCATAAAATTTTCTTCAGGAAGTTGATTTTTCTGAGTCTCGTTTCCTCTGCCGCTGTCTTCCTCAGACGTTTGTATAGGTCTGCGCCTGCAGCAGGTGATGAAGAGCCAGTGGCAGACCAAGTCACTGGAGAGGAGCAAACCACTGAAGAAGCTCTCCCTCAAACACAAGCTCTCCTCATCCAAAGAGAAGCACAAGTTCACCAACTCGCTCATGGCAGTCAGTAAGTATGGGAGCTGTCCGAGCGGCAGCTTTCTGCCATTTGACGGCAGCACACGAGCACAGCGACGCCTCTGAGATCACATCACCCAGACTTAAATACGACCTCTCACATTCAAAATAAATATAAGACGTGAAGAAACAGACAAATGTGTACAAATGTACGATGTTACGAAATGTCATTTTTAAAGTCAGCACATTATTGGGACACAGTGTGATTGTTGTTCAGGTCAGGTTTCTGCTTAATTCCAGCTGTGTAGGTTTCACAGTTCACTCTGTCCTAGTAGCTGCCGTATTTCCTAATTTCACGCAATGAGACGCTTCTCAGAAGAGAATCTGCCTTCTGAGAAGGCCCGATCTTGATGTCATATCCACTCAGCTGAGAACAGAGCAGCTGTTGATTGGTTGTTATCCTAGAAGAGAAAATACGCATTTACTAATTCCACCATCTCACAAGTGAAGATTTAATATCTGACATATGAACATAAGCCAACTAAAAACTTCAGGCAGTGGATTTTTAAACTCAACAAAAGTCTTGGAGTAAATTTTTATTATCTGAACATGTTTGTTTTAATGTGTAATGTAAACGTCCATGACTGTGGAAGCGCCGTCAGTTGTCCTAACCTGTGACATATATGACAGTAACCTGATGTACTCCTGGTGTTGCAGGATTGGGCCACAAGAGAAGCGCTGAGAAGTCGAGGACAGTTGACAGCAGCGTTGGCGGAGGCGGCGGCAGCAGCGGCGTGATGAACGCGGCCAGGCTGGAGGGCCAGGCTGTGTGCAAGACAGAGCGGCTGCAGGCCATCTCGACCCCGTTAGGGCCGTACGACAAGAACTACAGCCGCAAGAGAATAAGGGAGCACTCGCTGGAGAGAGCGGACTGTGAGTTACACGTCTGCAGCAGGGACTGCTTTAATCTGAGGTCCCATCAGTGAAACCCGCCTGACTTTTCCTTTCTTTCTTTCTTCCAGCCTCCCCCAAGCTCTTCATGGACTCGAGCACCCCCTGCACGACTCTAGCCAACATGCACTCGTCCCTGCACAGCCCCCTAACACGCCAGCTGTCCACATCTTCAGAGAACTCTGTGCCGCTGGGCCTGAGCAGCCAGAGTGTCCCGAGCACGCCTGTAAGGACGCCACCCCAGATCTCACACCTTATTTGGATGATTCAAATCATCAGTCCGGGGTTTTTAAAAATGCTCGCTGTGTTTTTTTTTTAAGCAGGCTTTACTGCAGTCATATATTTTATTAATGACATTCATTTATTTCAGTAGCTGCGTGGAAATCTGATGGTTTCACATGACACAAGATGACAGGCACAGCATTAAAAAAATGTGTTCCAGGGAAAGTCTTAGACGGGGTGTGTGTGTGGGAAAGCTGTGCTGTAGTGAGGAAGACGGGAAACAAATTGAGACTTCTGCGGCGGCAGCATGCAAACAAGCTGCGAGCGTCACTGTCTGATGCGTTTTTGGCGCCATTAATGCGAACAAAAGTAAAAGTTGAGGCTCGGTGTGAGAAGAACACTGCCTCGATAAACACTCATCACACAGTGTTTGTCGCTGGGCGGAGGTTCAGACGTTAAACTCGAGCTGAAACTTTTTTGTGGTTGCTGGAGCAGAAAAAGCAGCAGGAAACAAAAACACTCGGCAGACTCGTTGCGCCAGCTGCTGCCGTATCCGCTCTGTAACTCGTGATCTGTGACCCCGTTCGTGGTCGGAGCGCTTTAACGTGCTGCGCTGTCTGGGCTTGTTTTTGTTTTTGCTTTTTTTCTCTCATTTTCATCATTATTATTTTAATAATTTTACTTTATTTTAATTCATTATTTTCACACTTCAGAATCAGGCTGTCTGTGTGGATGCTTAGCTTAGCTTCAGGACTTCTTAGCGAGTAATCTGAAACCATGAAGCAGCATTTTACTGATTAACCTGCTGCTGTGGATGGGCTCACTCCAGAGGTTCTCACGGCTGAAGTTCAGTCTGCTTTCAGCGTCTTCTTCCTGCCGTGTGAACTTTTGGAAGCAATTTAACTCGTCCTACGTCTTTTTTGTGCTTGTATTGAATTGCATGTACTCATCTTCACAAACTTGTTACAAGTCAATGATGTTTTGTCTTCATTTACATCCAAAGTTGAGTCTCTAAACCTCGTAAAGCCTCTTTTTCACGGATATTAAAGTTCATCTGGTGATTTTCTTGGAGCTGGATAAATCTGGAGCGCTCTGTTTTGCCTCGGTTTGTTTTTCGGGAGCTGAAGGAGTATTTGGACCTAGAAATGGTTAAATGCTGCAGACTCGACCAACTGATTGTGACCTGCAGGGCATCTTCAGCTCATTTGCACACTCACCCTAAAACATGAGCGTGTAATTGTTGCCTGCTGGTCTTTTACACCAACATGGACAACATTTATTAAACAAAGTCTCCTTGGATTAAGGAGGAAACCTGTAAATTGTAAATATCCAAATGTGTTTGTGAAGTGAGCTCATGATGACCTCAGTTTCTATTAACCTTCATCTTTTGGATTAACATGATGACACGTGTCATCCTCCCTGCAGGCTGTGAGAGCGTTTGAGCTGAAAGTGTGTCGGAGCCGGTCGAGTCGTTATTGTTTGCAGACTTCTGTGTAAAGTCTCGCTTGTTTACACTCCTCCTTTGTTCTCCAGCAGCAGCCAATCAAGAGGAGGCGAGGTGAAAGCTCCTTCGACATCAACAACATAGTAATCCCCATGTCTGTGGCTGCCACCACCCGCGTGGAGAAGCTTCAGTACAAAGAGATTCTCACGCCCAGGTAAACCGATACCTGCATGGAAAAATACCACTCTGCTGTGGCCGCTGGTTCCCTGCACTCACACGTTTTTGTCTTGTTTTCTAAAGCTGGCGGTGTGTGGACGTCTTCTCGCAGCCCATAACCGAGGAGGAGAACGAACGCGAGGTGAGAGAACCACCTCATCTGTGGTATTTATCAGATTTCACGTAAGCTGGGATGTTAGGATCCGTTCAGGAGATCCTGAGCTGCTGAGCGAACAGTGACACCTGGTGGTCGGATCTGACTCGTACATTTTAACCTGTGAAGCAATCATGAAGGCTTTGAAAACCTAAAAACTCTTCTTTCAAATTCTTAGCGTGACATTAAAAGTTATAAAAACATCTCAGCGTCGTTGTTCGAGCTCAGATGGTCAAACTGCTTTCTCTCAGAGTGTTTGATGATTAAACTGAAGCAAACGAGTTTTGGGGGTCCTGATGACATGCGATGTTTCTGCAGGTGGAGGACCTGTCAGACGCAGCTTTCATTCAGCTCCATCAGGCCTATGAGGACCAGGAGCGCACTCGCTGGACTTGGAGGGCCCTGGCTCCTGCTAAGAGGCGGGGCAGCAGGTAAGAGCAGCATCATACGCCTCAGTAAGCGCCTCGCGTTTGTTGTCACGCGGCAGCCGTGACATTGACAACTCCTCCGTTTCTTCCTCAGGTCGTACAAGTCCGTGGACGGGCGCACCACACCTCTGCTGTGCGGGACCAACCCGCCCACCCCTCAGCCCGCGTCCCCCGACCCGGGCCACTGCCCAATGCTGCATGACTACAGCTACGTGCCGTCGCCCATGAGTCCCGCCAGCCCCGACACCGCCTCCAACCCCCACACGCCCTGCTCGAGGGACTCCCACCGGCTCCTGTCCAGTGAGGACACGCGGTGCTCCACGCCAGACTTCACCTTCGAAGAGCGGGTACGTAGCTCCACCCCTGAGGATCAGTCAGCCTGTGAAGCGTCTGAAACTTTCATTCGTTTTTAACACCCGCATTTTTCCCCCCCCCCCAGACGGTGGCGCCGTGGGAACGCCGGTGCTTCCCCCTGCCCGAAGACCCGGCCCCAGAGCCCGAGTCTGAGAGCGACCACCAAGTCAGGCCCAGGATGCGCAGCATCTCAGGTTGCCGAGCGATGGCCTACGGACGCCTCGATTCGGATGACGCAGAGCCGCCCCTTGACGACGAGAACAGTGGCGGCGCCCTAAAACACAAGTCCTCCACCCACCGATGAATGAGGGCCCCCCCACACACCCACACACACACAGCTCCTCTCTGGCATTAACAAGCAGAACCTCAGCGCAGAATAACATTAAATGGGTTCCTGTTGTTTGATATTCAAACATCAGTCTAATACTTTCACAGTTTTTAGTGAACATTACGGAGATAGAAGCCTTTCCCGACACTTGTTTTTTGTCACACGAAAGAAAAAAAAAAAAAAAAAAAAAATTTTAAAAAAAAAAAAAGTATAAAAACAACACGTTACAAAAAAATTTCTGTAGTAGGCTAAACAATGTACATGGGGGCTTAGTGGTGTTTCATACGTCGCGTGTACACTCGTAGCGCACTATGTAGCGGACTCCTCAAAAATATGGCCAAAGGGTTTTTTTTGTTTTTGTTTTTATTGACTAGTTTGCTTGTAATTCCCATGTACATTTTTAGTGGAGTGACAAATAAAACAATAAAAAAAAGGAGAAAAAAAATCAGCCCTTCCTCTTCCTCCGCCCCCTCAGACCTTCCTCATCCAAATAAAACGGATACATTTGAGATGTGGTTCCCCCTCCTTCCACTAGAGGTCGCCTGAACTCACCAGAGCACTTCTTTAAACTGCCAAGTCTGGTTTGCTTCATTATGTTTGTTTTTTCATTCCTGACGTGTTTTTTGTTAGTTTTTCTCTCGTTCTGTTCTGACTCATCCTCTTCTTCTTTTTTGTGCGTTCCTTTTAATAGTAAATCATTCCTTTTTTTTGATCTCCCGCCGCTGCCTCTGTTTTCAGTTCAGCTTCACAGAGGGCAGCACAAACAGACGCGGCGTTTTTAAGTTTGTTTTTTATTAGTGTTTTTTTTTTCTTTTTAAAGCACTTACCCCTCAAAGCGCCGCCGCTGCATGTCAGCAAACACGCTTGCGTCCGATCCCGACGGCACAAAGGCGTCCACTTAATTTAAAAAAAGAAAAGAGGAAATGGAAACGTCAAATCGCAGCGCGGCAAACAAACCCCGCCCTCCCTCCTCTCACATTTCACATGTAGCAGCTCTCAGCTGAAGCCGCCCTGAGCTCAGGTTCTCCAAGGGAAAAAATCTTCTGCTGCCCCCTCCGACCGATCGATCGATCGAACGTCACACTCAGACCGGATTTTATTTTCACCACATCCTCCATATAACCTCACACACTCCTCCTCCCTCCACCTTAAAGTAACTAATTGCTATGCAAAAAAAATCTATGGTTTTTCATTTTACACCTTTTTATCCCGCAGCCATTCAGTCACTGTTTGTTTTTTTCTTTTTTTGTAGTTAAGCGAGATGTCGATGTACCTGTTTGATTGTTGCAGCAGTTATAACCTAATCAAAAAGCTGAATTGTTTTTTCTTTTTTGTAAATAGTACCATTAAAACATTTATGTTTAACTTGGTGCCGTGGTCCTGCTCTCAGCTCATTTTAACCTGTGTGATGTCACCGCTCGCCGCTCGCAGGTGTAGCGCTGCGATTGTCCTCTGGCTCCGGGTGTTTGAATGCAGACTTTTCATAGGTGGTCCTGAACGAGCCAGAAATCTACATTTTTACTGTCAGATTTGATGAAGTGAAACAACTGTGATCAGCGTCCTGATTACACCACCACCTCCACCTGCTGCGTCTGGAAGTGTCATCCTCACTGAAGTGTCCTGTTTTAAATCCATAACCGACCAATCAGAACGCAGTAACATGCATGGTTTATGTAGAAAGTAAGATTTTCTTACAATGAAGCGAGGAGTTTTAATTCTGACTTACTTTGTCAGAGATGTGAAAGGTTCACAGCTGGGGTTGAACGTACGCCCGGGCTCACGGGCACCCAGGCAGTGATTAAATGGGGAGTTGAGGCATCTGCTGGAAAAATCAGCAGCGCTTTGAGCAGGTTAACAGGAAATGGAGCGACTCTTCTTTCAGGGTGTGAAACTCTAGATTAAACAGCTGAAAGGAGTTTCAATGCCACAACTTATTTCAGTGGAGAGGTGACTGGTTTAAACACTTTAGTGGTTAATGTGTCTGCCTCACCAGAGAAAGCTCCAGTTGACTCCCAGAAGAAGACCCAGTTATCCTCTGGGATTATGTCAGGAAGAGAATAAAACATGAGGACTGACCTGCTGTCAGCAGCCTGAGGAGAAAGCTGCTGCTTTAAAAGTACAACTAGAAGTCTTGTTTGTACACACACCTACAATCTGCAGTTAGACCTGGATTGTGGGACGAAACTGAAACGCCACCTGGCGGCTCTGAGACGAGAGCGACCTTCCTGTTGTGACCGCTGCACCAATCCTCAGACTGCCGGCTCAGAAAGCTTCATTTCAGCTGAATGATGTCCATAAGTGTGCTAACCTGGCACTAAGTAACATTGTTTTGACATGGGTGACCTTTGACCTGTTACTACAGTTTAAAACTGAGTGTGAAAACTTTTTGGTTGGCTAAAACATTTATAAAAGTATTTTGGGCTTTAAAAACAAAACCTTACTTGATGAAATTGTTAACAGAACTTGTGGCTGTTTATTCAAACTTGGCTGTTTTTATGATGCCTGCTGTGAACTTTGAACTGAAAGAAATTAAAAATAAAGCGAACACTAAAGAAAAAAGCATAAACCTATAGCTATAGCACTGCTATTTTCTTATCGCTGACAACTTAAAGGTGCTTTTTGTTTCAACGTGTGAATGAAAACATTCACCACCAGAGGGCAGCATTTCACCAGTAGGTGCATTTTAATGTTTCCAGATGTTTGCTGCTGCTCGCATCCTCTAAAGTCCAATCGTTCACCAGGCTGACATTTTAAAGTAGATCACTTACCTTATTTAAAAAACGTAAGCCTGCAATTTTAAAAACAATTAATCATAATTTTAAAAAAAACCTCCACCTTCTAGAGCCTGAGAAAGTTCACACACAGTGCTCCATCTTGTGGTGCAAAGTGGTATTACATCAAAGTATACAGCTGCTTCAGAAATAAAATCAAAGCAGGTTTTACCTTTAATCACTGTTTAAGTGCCAGTGTTGGCCTCCAGTGACTGCTGAGGGCTCCCTGCTGCTTTGCTGATAATATTAAAGAACAGAATAATTTGGACAGATTGTGACTTTTACGTTTATTAGTGAATATCGATATAATTGTTGTCTGCAGGTCCCAGGGTTGATTGTTGTGCAGCTGCACTAAGAGGACAACCTCATACTAAACTCTGGATAAAATAAGACTGAAACAGGCCTTTTAAAAGTAATTTCTAAATTATTAGCTTAATCATTTTTATTCTTTAAATTAAAAGTGATTTAAGAGTGATTTTTTTTTATTACAGTGACCGTTTCAGCTTTTACACACTAATAAATTTCCCCCCTCTTTTTCACAGCTGTTGCATTTTGCTCGTATAAATAAAAAGGAAAAAGTTTCTCTTATGTTTTATATTTCATAAATGCAGTAAAACACATCGTTACTGTAAAGAAAATGTAAAGCACCAAATAACAAATATTTGAATTCCGCTGGAAACAGATGAATGAGTCCCGTCTGATCTGGGAGTGATTTTTTTGCACTCCTTCACCACCACGGTGACTTCATAGCATTTATTTTCAAATACACATATACAGCAACAAGAATCATCATAAACCAGTTATTGAGAAAATGCACAATAACGAGAACAATCACATTTCCACAACTGTACAGCGTCAGAAGTAACCCCGAAGAGAGGAAAACAAAAACGAAAGAAGGTGACGAGTTTTGTTACTGTGGAAACCTCTCGGAGATCGGCTCCCGTCCCTGGGTGCTCGCGTCCGTCCTGCACGCAGAGACGAGCGTGGAACTGGAACTAAAGAGGGTTTAGCATGCAGATAATGTTGCAAGCTTTTCGTGTGCTTGCTCGTTTAGGAAACCTTACAGCAAAGTCGGTGACCTTTTGACCCTTAATTGCACATTTTTTAATACAAAAAAAAAGAATTGGTACATCCGTCCAGTTCCAGAGAAAATATAAACAGGATATACAGAGAGATCGCTTTGTGAAAGGGGGGCAACAAGCAGACGGCTGTCTCTTACATGAGCTGCATGCAAGAAGCTGTTTCACTCATTTTAATGCGAGTAATGAATCAGCGGGGGGGCCACATCGGGACGTCTCTGAGCACATGAACTGGGTTTGTTTGCAGGGGAACGTCTTAACCTGGCTCCAGCTGGAGAACACAACAAAAACGTGACCACATATGCACCGCGTGGACAAAAGTAAGTGGACGCACCTGTCTGGCTCAACCATTTAAAAGGGATCATATTTTAATCTGATACTCGGGCACTTTTGCTGCTTAAAGGAAGGTCCATCTATCCTTTAACTTTGACGGGTTTTTTCCCAGTGCCAAAAACTGCAGTTCCTCTGATGGCCACTTGAGGCTGCCTCCATGTTCAAACAACAACCTCACAGTGGAAATAAGTGTTGGTTGTTAGGGCCAAATGATGCACCTGTGGCTAAAGCACCATGAAGGCAGTGAAATAATCACCTCCTCTAAATATTCCTGTTCTGGCCTTTGGTCAGAATTTACTGAGAATTTAGACACATTTTCTAAAAGTTAATTAAACACTAAGTCATAGTTAAATGTAACGGCTCATCAAATGAATCCGAGAAAGTACCAAAACCCAAATGGCAAGTAATATCCGGCCCAAGTGTGAGGTTTCTTTTTGTTATCTGGGACCACTGTGTGCTGTGGCGTTCAGGTCTCCTCTGGCCCACCAAACACTTCCTGTGACGCTCATCAAGCCTCACTCGTGACTTTTGGACTACTGCTAAAAATCTGCAGCAGATAAGCTCTCATGCGTCCACAAACTTTTGCCACGAAGTGCACTTTTACTACTTTGCAGGGAGCGAGAAACACGGCCATCTGATCAGTCCTGTGTTTCAGGTGCATGTGTGTTGGATACAGACTGCCTAAGGAGGTCTTCACCGTCCGCCTGCCGTGCAACACTCACAATCTTCTCCGTACAAACGATCCATTAACAGTAAAACAGCCGTTTTCAGTGTTTGTGTCACCGCTGTGAAAACTTTAGTCTACCTACCTGTAAGTGCATAAATACTGTTCTCAGCCTCCTCCTCGCAGTTTAGCTATGAAAATGTCACTTTAAGGTTAATTTTCCCTCCTCAAGCTGTAGCGCATTTACACAAAGCAGTAAAAAAAAAGAACACTGACAGTAGCAGGCACGATACAAATGTTTCTTCATATCAAATACATGTCATATATCCACAGAGTACGATTATAAAACTGTGCCCAACACAAAGTCTCTACTCTAGCTCTTCACTTCGTCTTTTTTCTGTATTTTTTAAATCCAGGTAACGCTCCCCTGCCCCTCCCTCACCTACGACGCAGGGAGAGCGTCAGAAATGAGACCGCGGAGAGGCATCAGCCCCTCGCTTCGTCACCGAGCTCAGATAATTGATCATTCTGAGCCGAACGACTCACACAGAGAACAGGAAACAGCGGGGAACAAAAACCAGCTTAAATAAGTCAAATAAAACCGAAGAAGAAATGTTGACATTTTGTTTTTTAAATTTTTCCTTATTTAGCTTTAGTGTTCTTACAACACGTGACCGGGCCCTTTAACTTCCATATTTAAGGTGAAATATTCCCAGCGTGCTGCTCACGTCTGCAGTGGAAGTTTGAACCCGTGAAAGTGCCACCACGCTGTAACCCTGCGAATGGCAGAGGGAGCTGGTGGTGACGTCACCGCTCGGGCTTTGGAGTGCTCGTGCTCTCCGCTGCGATTCTAATGGTTTAAATGTCAAACCTGTGGCGGGTTTAGTTTAGACTCTGCTGACATCCACAGTAGTAAAACCAGGATGACCCTCGAGGTCTCAGCAGCTGCAGGTCGCAGCAGACAGCACAGCTTTACCGTATCGTCGCCACAACAACGAGCCAGCTACTTTAAAAGAAACTACAAAAACCTGATGCTTCGGTGTATTTATCGGTTAACAAATGTTTCAATGGCCGTTAGAACAAGATCACCCTCACTCGGCCATGTTTCTCCTATTAAGCAGGGAAGAGTTAAACAGCACAGCTGCCGTTGGTAAAGGCCTCTCTCAACCCTCCGTTAAGTGTAATTTCTCTCTTTCTTCTCGATCTCGCGGCTCTGAACGAACACCTGAGCTCGGCACGTCCCGTAAAAAGTCGCGTGAAGGCGACGCGATCAGTCGCTGTTGTCTCTGCGGTCTCACTTCTGCCCCCTCCCACCCCGCAGTCTCCTGCAGTAGCTCGAGGTGCAGCACATGTCAGGACTACACAAAGCAAAGACAGCAGTGAGGTCTGAAAGCTTTTTCTTTTCTGCCTTGACGAGAAATATTTGCTACTTTTTCTTCTAACTGTTCCTCCGCCCACTTCACCGGACCCTGTATCTGATCCCTCTGCTTTAGCGCAAACGGACCCCCACCCCCGTCCCACAAACAGTCTGCATTAACCTCCATCTACAAGGTTCTGTTTTTTTTTTATCAAAAAATAAATAAATAAAAAAAGAATCAGGGGACACCCGTCGAAGGTGACGCTGATAAGATACACTTCTAAAAGGGTTCACAGTCAATGTGACGGGAAACCGAGTCTTAGACGATTTAGCGGGATATGTACGGAGATCCTCAGAGGGAGGATTTCGCTCTGCTGGGGTGCTTTAACTCTTAAAGGGACACTTACAAAAGGTTCAAATTAAGTGTAGAGATCAAAGACCACAGAGAGATATTCAATACATGTTGGCCTACTGGTTAATCTGTTTTCTTTTTTTAAGACCTCTAATAGCAACGCCTCGACGAGATTCAAAGGTTAGTGGAGGATAAACAGTGACGGGCAGCTAAAAAAATCAAATAAAAGTCCTGTGAAAGTAACGAGGAAGGCATCACAACTCCTCTACGTGGTCGTGCGGTCGAGGCGGGGAGTGCGGCGAGCGCGTTCACAAGCCTTGTTTGGCCAGGGAGGCGGACACCTGGTCAGCCAGCGTGGAGAGCTGTGGAGAGTCGGTCATGTTGATGCTGCCAGAGGAGGACACGGTGCTGAGCTGGTGAGGGGAGTCTTCCAAGGAGACGATCTCGGCGCCGTGGTCAGTGCGGGCCTTGGCTGTCTCGCGGAAATTCAGTTTGTGGCTCTCAATCTGTGGCGAGATCGGAGGTGAAGGTCAGACATCAGATCAGCCATGGCCTGGATTTTTCTGATTTTTAAGGACTAATGATAGTCCTGCACTACGTAATCTTTAAATTTCCTGCGTTATGATTCGCCCTCAGCTGTTTACTCAAAACCATCAAAAGTGTGTGCACATGAGGTACTGTTTGCATGCATGCAACAGAAATAAAGACGTTTACAGCTTCCATGTTCATAACATTTCTTTAAATGTTAAAGGAAACCGGTCAGCAACCAGCGAGCCACCTCCGGTCGATGGTTGCAGAGCGGTTGCAGGAGGTTTCTGGCTGTGTGAATGACCTCTTGTTAGGTTAGCTTCACAGCACAGGCCTCAGATCCTGAAAACTCATAATCAGCACTATCCACGTCATGTCTGAGAGTCTGAGATGAAGCAGCTTGTAGGTACTTACAAGAGTCCTCAATCTTTATGAGAGGGTTCGTCAGGATGGGTGTGATGGGTGCTGAAGGGACAGTCGGAGGTGACTGAGGGGGGGTGACAGCGGGGGAGAGGACCGAGGGGCTGTCTGAGGTGCTCCCCTCTCCGTCTTTCCCCTTCTCCCTCTACAGAGGAGCCCCAGCAAGGAAATAAAAAGGCATGCAACAAAAATACACGTGATGGTTTCAACAGAAATGAAAAATAAATAAAATAAAGCAAAACAATTGATGAGAAAATGCAGCACAGCGTCTCAGGGCCGCTGAAGGTAAAAAAAGAAAATACAAATAAAAAAATGTGAGGAGCTTGGGGGAGGAGTCAAATTCAGAGAATATAATCAGCATTTTAAAGTTTGAAGAATTTTAAATTATTTTACAAGAAAAAGACAAAATTTCTGAGATTAAAAAAGACATTTTAAAGGAGAAAATTGGTAAAATTAGAAAAACTGAAATTTATTAGAAAAATCTGATGAATATATAAGAAAATTGTGATAAAATTACAAGAAAGAAACAAACAAATTTCTTATTATTAAATTATTCACTGTTTTTCTCATACATTGCCAGTTTTTTCACATAAATTTTGCTAACTTTATCTCTTTAAATTGCCTTTTTTCCCCTGTAAACTTTTAGTTCCAGTGACCCCGAAACGCTGTCACAACAGTGAAATTTGACAAGAACGACAGCGAAAACTTTAAAATGAAGGGAAAATCAGCAGGATGAAGAAAATGGAAGCTTGAACAAAGGAGGGAAAAAGCAGAAAAACCAAGAAAAAAAAGCTCTAAAAGCTGCTGTGTGTGTGACACCCTCACGAACGTCAGCGTGGCTGTTAGAGATCAGCTGAAATGTTCTCGCTGCTTTAGTTTTGCTGTTTCTGTGTTGCTGAGTGTGTTTCACCCACAGAGACGCAGAAGAGCTGAAAGCTGGTTTTCCGAAGAAGAGAGCCGAGCACTGAAACATGCTTGAGGCCAAATGGTGCCAAACTTTAGTTAATTTAAATTGAATTTTAATTATATGTGTATATTGTCTATGTACTTTCAGTTCTAGAATTTTTATTTATTCATTTTTTCATTAGTAAATATGATGCTTTTGAAGTTTTTAGCTGCAAATTTTATGTCTCTTTTTTTTTTTATCTTACTCTTAAACTGCATTAGCAGTAAACAAATAAATACAAAAAATCTGATGTTTAACTTGTAAGAGGAATAAGAGGAAAAGCTTGTAGAAATTTGAATGTAGTGAAGATCAAAATGTTTGTTTTCTGATTTTTTTCTTGGCACGGATTGGTCTCCATACAGAACTGTGACGAAGCGCCACGGTGCCCTGAGCGTTTTGCTTTTAGCCTGCAGAGAGCACGTCGGTGGATTTTTACTTCACCTTCTTCTGCCCGCCTCCAGGAATGTGGCTGATGTTGCCCAGAGAGCCCACTTTGGACTGAACTTTAAACTCCAGCTTCTCGTTTTTGATCTCAATGTTTCCACCACCTAAAAAAAAAATTATAATCTGAGTGCAGCACCATTATTACAGAAGTGGAAGAACTTGTACTGGTACTTAGTGTAAGAACCAGCATCAGTACATTTCCTGCTTTTAAAATCAAACAATCAGAGCTACACAAGTTTAACCAGTTTTTGTTAATATTAAGAAAACCATCATTAAAAAATGTTTTACTGAAATAATCACAGCTGCCTGAGACCTTCAAGCAGTGACCAGCTGACTGTTCCCACCCATCCGAAAATAAAAAAGGCAGACTGAGTGTTTGCCGTTCGGCTCTCCAAGCCGCTTTGCAACCCACCTCCACCCCAGCTTCTTAGGTTAATGCTTTTCATGGTATTCAGAGCAGAGGCATGGACATAAATTACTACGTGTGGTATTGCATTTACACTGAAGGTGGAGGAGACTTCTGCTACTAATTATATTGTCGTTATGTACTCTGTTCACAAAAGCTCGTCACCTAAAATTAAGCAGAAAGTTGGAATAATGTTTTACCCGGCTTGTGACGAATGTTGTCCTTCGAGCCACACTTAGATGTAACGTTGCTCAGATCGATCTTTTTGTGCACGATTTGAATCTGAGAGGAAAAAAACAGCACAGAGTTTGAATGCAGACCAGCAGAGTCAGCAGCTCTGAAGTCGCCCTGCATGCAGCCACAGAGGAACTGATCCTATAAAACCGGCCTGTTAGTGAAACTGTTCCTGAAAGCAGGTTTAACGGTCTCTGAGTCGTACTTTAAAGTCGCGTTGGAGCTCTGTCTCTAAACGTGGGAGATTTTAGTGAATCAACACCTTTGTTTTTAGATAAGAGCGACTCAGTCAGTCAATGAAATCAGATGATGATTTATGGGGGATTGTGTGGAGTCTTTAAATTTAAGGTTTCACTTGTTGCACGATGACCAATCATTTTTTTAAATATGTATTAATAATAAATCTGTGATTTCTGTCTTTCTCCTTACATTTACGACAGACTTGACTATAAAAACCTGCTTTCTGGAACCGGGTTATGGAAGGAAACACAGATTAACAGCACTGACTAACACACTGGATTAACACTTAAAGTTTTAATCTGAGCGGTGCGACCTTACCCCAGTGCAGAAAAACGAGTGACCATCTTCTGCACTAACTGATAAAAGCCAGATTTCAGCAGCCATGCATCACCATGCATGGATAGATGATGTCACTCTTGGCTGTTTGTCTGCAAACACAGAGCGCTCAGTCTCTCTGCGAGCTGAGGTCACCTCAGCGTGGATGACAACAGGCACTGTTTGGTGGAGAAGCCGAGGACAGCAGGACTCTTTGTTACCCGATCGGGACACTTTGAGGGGACAATTAGTTCACTTCACATCAAGGTTTTAGGAAATAAAAACGTCCACAAACAGGATTCATGCGTGTGGCTTCAGGGACAGATTTGAGGGCAAAGACTCAACAGAGTTATCGGGCTTACGTGAGACGCAGAGCATTGCATAACACGGTAGATCCAATAAACTAAGAAGACTCTGATTTAGAAACTACGGAGCATCTAAACCAGTGAAAGAAAAGCGCTGGGAGGGCGGTTTAGTGCTGTTCTAGTATGAAATGCTCAGATCTGTTCACGAGTTCAGTAAAACTGTTAATGGGAGAAGTTGGCAGGTCAGCGTTTGGGAGGTCAGAAAGGCTGGACACAGACGGGAGGATCTGTGCTCCTTTCTGAGGATGCGTTCAGTGGAAGCACACCTCTACTCACATTGCCACCACCGGGTACATGTTTTATATTATCTTTGGAGCCACACCGGGACTGCACACTGCTCAAGTCCAACTTCTTATCGAGAATTTGCACCTGGAAAGTTGATACATGGGGGTGAAAAAAACAGTTATGGCGGCGAAAGCAAAGAGCTGCGAATGAAGACGATTACTGGAGAGGAAGATTAGATGTTGGAGGGACGAGTTTGAGGCTCGGGGGAGTGAGAGCTGACCGAAACCCTCGTGAGGAGATGTCCCCACATCGCCGCACTGGTGCTTTGAAGCCATTACAATCAGGTGAAGCATTTCAGAGGTTTTCAAACTGTACAGGGGCAACCATCAAGTTAGACCTCTGAGGGCCAAGTCATCATCGGAGATGACTCCAACTCTAACCTGCAGTAAAACTGGTTTTAATTTTATTTTCACTTAACTGAAAAAAATGAAACAATCAGAAAAAAGTTGAAGGTAATCCTGTGATGACTTTGACCGTACAGGGTTGAACTTTTCATTAGAGATCGATAAATACACAGAGAGATGACAGCACCAGTTATAAATGTAAGAATATGACATTAAACACTCATCAGATACTTTTTTAGATAAATCTTCTTCAACTGCTCCTCACTGCAGGTATCCGTCATGGTTTGATGCTGTGTGGCAGGCTCGGTTAGAACCAAACGACTCTCAAAAACCGGACTCAAAGCAGCAGCTTTATTTTCTGGGAAAAATAATCCATAAAATAAATGGAAAACAAACCCAAACTTGAAGATAGAAACTGGAAACTAAGACGTCAACATTGGGAGGCTAGAAAACCAGGAGCACAGAGGAAACACACAGCAAAGAGAGGACAACACAGGGCTTAAATACACAAGGGAGTAACAAGGGAATGGGAAACAGGAGGGAAACACAGCTGGGACTAATCCGACATAACGAGACAGGAAGTAAAACCAATCACATGACAGCAACCTGATGCATTGAGGCATGTAGACATGGTGAAAGACCCGCTAAAGGCCATCAGACTGGGGGGAATAAAGGTGATTTAAGGGACTTTGAACATGGTGTGGTTGTTGGTGCTAGCGGAGTATTTGAGAATCTGTTCATCTTTTCCCCACACATCCATCTGTGGGTTCACAGAGAACTCGAAATGCACAACACGTCCAACCTTGAGGCAGATGCACAGTAATTAGACAAGAGAAGACCGAAGTCTCTGCTGCGACATTCAGATGGTGGGGTCAGAATGTGGCATAAACCCCACGAAAGCACAGATCCATCCTGCCTCTCATGAACGGTTGAGGATGGACGAGGTGGTGTAACGGTGTGGAGGATGTTGCTCACCATCTCTGGCATCATAATCACAGGTACTTTGGAAAAGATCGAGATTATTTACCACGACAGCTCTTTTTACAGAATTTGTAAAAATGGATTCAACATTTCCTCTTTTTATTGAGAGGATGTGCTTGAATTTGAACTTGAACTGATAAAGTTGTAGATTTAGTCGCGTCAGACTCTGAAAACCTCTGAAATCCTTCAGTCTGGATGGAGAAGTGCACAGGTGAGGGGGAGACTGTTAACCCTTTGAGTCACAGAGCAGCGAGGCTGCAGGGGGAGCCTGGCGTATTTGGGTCCATGTGACATTTTCAGTGCATAATCAGTTGATTCTGATGAGGTCAGGTGTGAGGTACCTGCTGATTTTCATAGAATGGCGCTACTGTAATGACAGGAAGTTGCTTTTTTTTGTAAAACAAGCTGAACTGCACTTGTAAATGATGCAACAGGCTTTGTGAATAATCCCTTTGCTTGTGCCTTTGTGGAATTAGTGGGACTTCTTTTAAAGCTACAGTCTCTCTCACCTTGCCTCCACCAGGCGTGTGCTTTAGGTTGTCTTTAGAACCGCAGCGAGATTGGACGTTACTTAAGTCCAGCTTCTTCTCGAGGATTTTGACCTGCAACAAGACAGAAAACAAGTAAATTCTTCAGGAAATAAAAGGAGAACAGCTGGGGGGAGAGAATCAGCCCGAAAGGAGGAAGTGAGATGGTGAAAGAGATCTCGGCGTTAAAGCTGCCATCTGTAACTCTGCATAATTGTCACGTTTCGAGGAAGTCGTCAGAAAACTGACGACTTTAGTGGAGCAGATTGCAAAAATAGCGATGTTTTAATGCAGCTGCAGAGTTTCAAACAGATGTTTTAGCAAGGATATTAAAGTTAATTAAAACTTAATTAAGTGTAAAAAAAAATCTCTTTAGAAACAGAAACATGAATAAAAAACAAAAAGCAACTAAGGAAATACGCTGCACTCACAAAATTACTTAAATGAAAAAGAAATACTAAAAATTGTATTAATTTTTTTTTTAAATTGCTCAAATTTGTCAACATAACCAACTCGAGGAGGCTGTGTTAATGTTAACTGGGACAGACAGAGCTATTTGTTAAATATCAGAACAATATAACAGTGTTTTTTTTTCTGTGTTAAAAGCAAATCAATAATCAGTTTAATGTTAAAGATGCCAGCTTTAGCTCAGTACATCACCAGTTTTCAGTGAAAGAATTAAAATCGTATAAAAACTTCAGTCTTATGTGCATAGACTGTATATAAATGATGGACGTAGCTTCTGGGTCTGAACAGTGAACTGAATTAAACCTGCATTCTTTCTGTGTCCAGCAGAGGGCGACTCCTGTAGTAGCCAAAAGCAGTTTTTGTTAGGTACACCTGTCCTTCTGCTCATAATGCAATAACTAATTAGCCAGTCACGTGGTAGCAACTCAATTCTTACGACTGAATGGACTCAACAGCTATTTTTCGTATTTTTATTTATTTATTTGTTTTCTTAGATTTGAGCTTATTTTGCCATAAAGCATCGTCAGTCTGCTAATACAGTCTGATTGGTCTGTTAGGTCTGTCTTACAGGTGTAGAGACTAGTTGGCAACCACCCGGCAACCACCTGGTTGTTACAGAAAACTGTGTATTCACCAACTGGTTCCTGGCTGATGCAAAAAAGGTTCTGCACCCACAACCTCCTTGTTATTGCTTTAGTTGCTAGCAGACCGCCGCAGTCACCCACAGTTTGCACAGTAGAAGCCGACTTGTCTGTTTGTGGAGCCATCGCTAAACTTGAAAAATTGCATCACAAACCGTTTCAAAATAAAAGTTGTGCCTTTTGAAACACGCTGGTTGCAGCAGCAGGACAACTTTTACTCTGAAGGTAAAACATTTCTGGTTGGTGCAGACAAGTTGCTGTCTTTCATGCTAACTATGGGTGACAATCTGTTAATGGCCAAAGCAATAAAAAGGTGGTTTCCAGTGCAGCACCATATACCTCTGGGACTGTCAACCAAGTCCAGTAGCGGTTACTGGAAGAGAAAGCTCATGATTATACTGGTGGCTACGTCTAGGGCTGTCCTTCCCTGTGATCTGGAAGACGCTGCTGCGTTGCATACCTCAGTTTCTCAGCCAAAACTAAGGCGTCAAAGACCAAAACAAACAGCTGGAAGCTGTTAAACGGGACTCAGCCTACCAGGGTGAGTGATGCCACAGTGGCTACATCCATCTTTTATATGCAGTCCATGCCAATTACGGATTATTGAGCAGATTGTGTTTCCACATCCAGTCCACCTTCTGATCGGATCATTAGAGGAGAGCACTTTGCTTTTACCAGGAGTTAGTTTCTGATGGTCATAACTGCAGAGATACTCAAGAGTCTGGAGTTGAGTTCATCCCCCAGTTACTCACATTGCCGCCACCGGGTACATGTTTGATATTGTCTTTGGAGCCACACTTAGACAGCACATTACTAAAGTCCAACTTCTGATCAAGGATTTGTACCTGGAAAAGTGAAAATGTCAGCTTTTAGATTTAGAGTTTAGACGATGGCTTGATTTGATTAAAGAAGTGGGAAGAAACTCGTGCGGGAGTGTGACCGCATGCGGGGTTGGTGAGAGTCGATAATTCAAAGTGTGCATTGGTCTTCACTTCTTCTCATTTCTTTACTTGTCCAACACTGGCAGGAACCAAAGACTGATTTTCAGCTCTTCTATCATCTACCAGAATAAAGACTTTCTAGTTTGAACTCTGAATGGAGCTGAATTACTTATTTTGGTCCATAAATATCACAACACGTGATACTTTTGAGTTTCATCAGTAAAACATCGGACACGTGACTGCACCCTGAATAAAATTAGACCAACGACCTGCATGGCTTTAGCTAAAATAAACCTCTAGCGTCACACACACACACACACACACACACACACACACACACACACACACACACACACACACACCGACATCACACTGCAGACTACACTCGACACACTGAGCTGCAGACTGGAGTTTTACTTCCACAAACATTTCTTAGAGACATGGCTGCCCCGGGAAGATTAGAGCTAAATAATATTGAAATAAAAAAAATAACAATAATAATAAAATATCTATTTTTTAAAAAAAGTTGCATTGTGTCTTTATCAAAACTAACTTGATTAAAATAATCTTTAGTGTATTTGTCTGTTGAGACCTGAGGTGTGCAGATTATTGTGAGTCAGCTGCCTGACTTGTGTTTGTATAGTAACACCTGAACTTCTGAAATCTCACACTGACAAATCGTCATCATCTAGTCTTCTTCTTTCGGTTCCTCTTTTTAGGGTCACCACACAGACCACCTGCCTCATCCCAGCATCCTCTTTTCCCACTTACCTTCACTACATCCTCCTTACATCTTCACTGTTACACCTGTCTCCCTCACCTGTCTGTGCTCTTCTCTTCAAGTTAAACTAACTAGTTAATCTGTGTGCTCTTCATTCTCTTCATAGCTGCCGGCCCCTGAAATAATGCCCTATATGTAATAATAAAAGTAACAATGGAGCAAGTAAAAAACTAAATGAGCAAATCCACTCTGGAAACAGACATGACAGGGAAATGGTAGGTGGAAGGAACAACAAAGGGTTCAGGGCCTTCTGTGTTGGTATTAAAACTCAAGCATGTAAAATGACCGAGTGGGGTCATCAGATGTTACACAAAACTGATTTGCAGTTTTAAAGAGGTGCTTCTCAGACCTGAAACCTGGACAAAACCTGAACTTCCTGCCTGGTCTCATCACGTTATTGTGCAGAAATATCAGCTGATTCTGAGGAACTTTGTCTCAGATTTGATCGTTTTTATAACTGGAACGACTCTCGAGGCTCTCGGTCTGTTAGCCACGGTTCACTGCAAAACATCACGTTTAATCACAATGCAGCGATTAAAAGAGGAAGAAATGATGTTAAAAACAGCTTTGAGGCTATCCATGATACACCAATAGGCCAAAATGAAACGCTGCAGAAACAGAGGGACACATTTGTGGCAGGAAAAGGTTTTATGATTAAAAACCCACAATGGCACATAGAAATATACGCCTGGATCATAGACGACTCCACTCGGTCACGTGAATGTTAAAACTCTGATCTGCAAACTCAGTGGGCAGTGTTCTGTGAGGGGGTGTATTCAGAGTATTTCCCAGGTTACCTTTCCCCCTCCGGGCTGATGCTTGATGTTTTCTGTGGAGCCGATCTTGGACCTGACGTTCTTCAGGTCTGGCAGCGGCGCCGCGGCAGCCAGAGGAGCCGGTGGACGGCTCTTCAGCGAGCCCGGGGATTTGGGGGTGGAGCGAACCACAGCCACCTTCTTCACTTTGTTGGCATCGGCCCCTGACTTTGCAGAATTTGATTGGCTACCGGGGGATTTGGGAGTGCCGGGGCTGCTCTGTCCACTCCTGGCATCTAGAGGATCCAGAGAAATTATAAGTTAGGAGGAGTGTGATGAGTCATGCATGTAGAAGAAATCATTAAAAATAATAAAAAATAAAGCATACTAGGAGCTCTACTGGCTAAAAGCTGACCGAGTTTGATCCAGAAACAGCAGATCAGACCGTGTTATTGTGGCCATGCAAGGCTGGAAGCGATTTCTAATCATTTCCTTTATTTGATTTGATTTTTTTACCTTTTTCATTTTTTGGAGTGAGGGATTTGTTGGCACGAGCTAGATCACAGAAAATATAACACATCATTACCGCGTACTCCAAAAATACGGAAGCCTATATTAAAAATAATAATGGATTGGATTTATATAGCGCTTTTCAAGGCACCCAAAGCGCTTTACAATGCCACTATTCATTCACTCTCACATTCACACACTGGTGGAGGCAGCTACGGTTGTAGCCACAGCTGCCCTGGGGCAGACTGACAGAAGCGAGGCTGCCATCGGCCCCTCTGGCCAACACCAGTAGGCGGTATGGAAAAGTGTCTTGCCCAAGGACACAACGACAAGGACAGAGAGCCCGGGAATCGAACCGGCGACCTTCCGGTTACAGATACGCTTCCCAACCCCCTGAGCCACATCGAGCTTTAAGAGCAGATTAAATAATTATTTTACCCGTTAGGTGCCATTTTTTTCTTTGAAGAGTTTCTCTGCACAGCTGTTTAGCCACCGACACAATTTCTGTTTTTCATTCACTTTGTTGCTTTTGGATTTTGGGGGGAGATTATTTCATGCCTGTTTCTGTGATTTAGTAAAGAATAATGACATTTCTACTGGTACATAAATCACATTTATGCAAAGAGTCCACTGATTCTTGGTTAGATGTGGGCAGTTTCATAACCACAGATCCAGTCACACAGAGACTGGTCAGCGACCTCTACCAGCTGGTTTGCATGTGGTTGCTGGAGGTTGCAGGGAGTTGTGAGGTACTTACAACCTGCTTGTACCTTCTGAGATGGTGAGGCACAAGCACTACAGCACGGCCTGCGTTGCAGACAGCTCGGTGTCTATCAGGGACTACAAGTGACTGGAGCAATCTGCAAGCAACCAAAGCAACTACCACTAGGAACCTCTAACAACCACTCCCAGCCAGTCGGCGAACACATATTTTCCAGATGGATGGATCTCGATCAATCAGGATTTGGCCCAGAAGCTGATATCCAGCAGAGAATTGCAGAAGGTGTGAATAAGAAGGGTCAACACTGTGAATATTGACTCTCTGCATCAAGAAATTACCGAAATATTTAACTGAAAAGGGCAATCACAGTCTGCAAACTAAAAGTACATTTACAGCCAAACCCATTTGCTGTAAAAATGAGCATGTTTCAGGTTTAAATGATATGGCTAAGTCCGCTTTAGGCTTCCATACTAAAATCAGTAAAGTAAAAGTTGAGTTTAGCACAAAGGCCTCGGCTCGTACCTGGTTGAGCTGCAGTTCTGGCAGAAGTTTTGGCCCCTGGAGTCTGAGACTTTGCACCGCTCTGAAAGTCACCACAACACTATTTTAGTTTCCAGCAAAGAGACGTCTTGGAGATGGTTGAATGCAGTAACATTGCACACTAATCAGTGAGGAATTGATGAGTCGTTTCTTCATATAATGTTTGGTGATAATAGAGGGAGGAATCAGGTTCCAGTCCATGTTTTTCTTTGACCGTTTCAAACAAGATTCAGTCAGCGAGTGTGAAGAAAACTGAGCGAGTCAGTCGGCTCACGTCTGAGCTCTAAGCTGCATTCAGACCTGTACTTACTCCAGGCTGCCTGGGCCCTGTGCTGCTGACTTTAATGGGGATCGAGCTGTGGCCATTTCGGGAGGATGCGGGTGATTTGGCGCCCTTGGCGGTTATGGACGGTCTTTGAGGGGAAGAGGTCGGTGTGGTGGCAGTTTGAGTCTTTTTCATGAAGAGGAAGAAATGAATGAAAAACAAAAGGTCCAATGACAATGACCACAAAACAAAAGAATGATTAAAAATAACTGAAAGATGATAAAAATAAAGGATTTTTTTATGACATGAATAAAATGTTCTGGTTTATTATAACTTGGATCTTGTTTTTACACAAACACGTGTAGTGCCAAGAGAGGGGATAGTCCTAATATGGTCATCTCAGGCACAGAAGCCCCACCTCCCTGCTGTTTAGATAGGGCGTCCAATCCAATTTCTTCTTATTATTATACTTGGAAGTTAAAGGGGGTGTGCTATTGGGCAAATCAGGCAGGTGCATGAACCAGCTTTTATAGAGTCGTTGGTTCAAGTCGAGAGGCATCATCCTGGGAAATGAGGCCAGTGCCTAAAAACTGCAATTCCTCCTGTGGCCACTTGAGACTTGCTCCAAATGTGAGTGAATCTCCGTAGACTTGCATGTTAAAATGTCCAACACAGGCAGGTGTAGCTGCTAGCTGCTTATTATGAATCACCTCCACTAATTGGAGTCCAGCAGGTTTTGATATTGGTGCTTTTGCAGCATTTTGATGGGATTATATAATATATAAATATTATAGTTTGCAGTGTTTGTGCTCCAGTTTGAGCTAAACTGCAGTATTTTCTTAGTCTGATAATAAAACAGTAATTACTGAGAGCTCAACACTGTCGCTGGAAGGAGTTCAGTTAAATGCTGAATATATGTGATAGACATGGGTAATAATATGTCGTGTTTGTTAACTAAAGAAAATAAAACCAAAGGTTTTAATAAACCAGAATATTTCACAACAACTAAAAGGCGTAAAGAAATGAGCGACTGAACCTAAAAAATGCCGTTGGTGACGTACCTTATCTCCGTTATCCATCACTCCTTGAGCTATAGAAAAGAAATAGAAGCAAACTTTAGCTTTTGGCACCTTTTTTTAAAAGCTTAATATCTATATTATTTTTTCATATCCACCCAAGTGCAATAAGTTAAGACTTTTGCTTCCATGAGCGTGCCAGAATGCATTCTCATGGAAAGTGAAATGAGTGATGTTGGGTATGCAGCATGCAAGAAAACACATAAAACAAAAAGGTGGCTTTTTTTAGGGCTGCATAACCAGCAAAGTGAGCAGAGATGGAGAGATGAAAGAAAAAAGCTAAAGTGGGGGGAGGGAGGACGACAAGCTTCTCCTCGGGTCAAAGTTAACGTCCATAGAAACACTTCGGAGGGAGAGTGCTGCATAACACAGAGCAGAAGCTGCGTTGGAAATCAAAGGAGTGGAAGGAGTGAACTGAAGAGGACTGGTTCTGAACTGGTGAACATGACAGCACACAGACCTTTGAAAACAGCGACCGGCACCAAAGACTTTCTGGCTCGGGTGCTTTGGGGGGGCGTTTTCTGGAGCTCGGCGGTGCCGGTGGTCTGAGCCACACCGCTCCTCATCTCTGAGTCATTAGAAATGTCAGGCTTTGAATAGCTGGCTGTATGTAACGATGAGTCACCGCTGTTTTCAGCTGCCGTGTCAGATGGCAATTTGTTAAAAAGGCGCTGCTTCTTGGAAAGGTCTTCACAATGAGAATCGGAGCTAGACTGGAGCGCACTTTGCGTATGAGGAGCCCGGGGTGTTTCTGACGTGATATTTTTGCTTCCCGAGTCACCGAGGGGCTTCGGAGCTGCTCCTTCAGCAGTCAGTCCATCGTTTGTTTCTTCAGAAATGAGCTCCTCGCCCTGAGGAACACACAAGTTTCTGTCCCCAATGGATGTCAAGTCCTCCAAAGCTGTGCTTCGGACTAAAGACATTCCAGAGAGGTTGCTCATTTCACTGAGGCACTCGGAGGCGTCGAGACTGATGGCCCTCTGAGGATCTGCAGCTCCTGCCCACTCAGGGCTCCCCCTGCTGGCCTGCATGTCCCGTTTAATCTCTGCCCTGCAGCTGAGGTCTTCAGAGACCCACGAAGACTCACTTAGCCTCTTCCCACACTCTCCCACTGCTTTGCTTCCTGGGTCCAGAGAGCAGGAAGCTCCCATGAAGTCAACGCCCTTCCCAGCGTCTCCGTGCAGATCGGACTCTGCAAATCCAAACTCACCACGGACTCCAGAACCAGGCCTCGCTAATTTGTTTGGAAAGCAGATTAATGGTGACATTCACAGCAGCACTTGTTATCCATCTCCCCAATGAAACAAAAAAAAAAGAAAGTGGAGAAGTGATGAAGGAAAATAAAAGACTGTTTGATTACCCAGAACAAACACCAGACACTCAGAGAGCTGTGAGCGGTGATGATGCAACACAACAAACCCAGAAGTGATTAAAGGTGGAAAAGTGTGAGTTCACATGAAAACAAAATAAAAAATAATGCATCACAGTTGGGTGTCAGACGGAGAGATGATGCATTCCAGTGAACACACAGACCAGTGATTTATGCTGTTACAGAATACGTGATTAAAATGTGATGTAAAGCCTTTCTGAGCCGACTCTAGCAGTGCAAAAATAACGTATCCCACCCCACAACGGACCTCTAAGTACACACACGAGTCTGGAGTGTTTCACAAGAATATATTTGGACATTAATATCATACAGTTATGCAAAAACGAATAATTAAATGATCACACAAAGAAGCAAATTTCCACATTCTGACATTAAATGATAAAAACCTTAAACAGTTATGTAGTTAAATACATGTATTATTAATCAATAAATCTTTTTTTCATTAAACATATAGAATTATCCGTTAACTTATTTGATTTGTATTTAATTGTTATTTTAAGTAGTAGTATGAGCCACTGGATTCAGGGATGCCAGGTCATGATGCAGAGCGGACCACAGTCTTTATTATCAGGGACCGTTGTTAAAGCAGGTTTAGCCCAGTGCAGAGCTGTTTCTATTCAGTTTCATTTACAGGATCATGTTTAAGTTGAAGATTTGACATTTTTCTTTTTCTAGTTTGATTTTTCTTTAGTTGGCTGCACTGCATCCAACACACTGAGCCACGGTTGTGAAGAAAGGAATAAATATTTATTTCTGCCTCCACCAGTCGGTCAACCTTCACAGTGACCTTGAGCCCGAGGACAGTTTGAGGGAAGACGCACTAGGCGATCACTGTGCGCAAGTTTCGTGACAAATACTCATCAGTCCTTCAGCTGAATTAGCCAAAAACGTCATAAATTCCTTCGACTTTGATACAATACGGAGGCTATCCATGTACACCGACGTGTCAGGACTACGTTTACAGTATCTGGTCAAACGGTCAATATCAGAAAAACTATTCATTATAACACATTTTCCCTTTAAACTGAAAATAATGTTCAATTCCAGGAATCTCAAATTGAAAACTGCAGATGCTGAAATCTAAAAAAAAAACAAAATAGAAAATATAAAAAAAATGTAAAGACTGAATAATAATTATAAAAAAGTGCTTTATTGTTTCTTATTGTTACCGTTATGGGTGAGGGTTAGTGCCGTTTTAAAACTATAGAAATACTCTAAAAATAAAATAATGAAAAAATAATAACTTGTGCTAAATTATTATATTTACATATTGCGCAAGTTTGTTGTTTTGAACTTTTAAATGATGCTTGGTGTAATGTTTAGATGGAGGCGGATGATCTGCCGACCCTTACAGGAATCAGCCGAGAGGAGAAGGTGGTGTTTTTAACCTTTAATCCATAAACGCATCATTAAAGGAAACTGATGCAGAAATTTTAAAGATGTGCGTGTTTTACCATTTAAATAAACTGAAGTGACTGATTACATCTGAATTCAGGTGGAAAACTCCAGACTCTTTAATATAGTAGCAGGAAAATCAGAAACTGTGGTCAGAGGTTTACATTTGCAGACATGGATGCTGTGGTGATTTCAGCCTTATAATTATTTCCTTGAACTGTTTTTTTTCCAGAGGTGGAATGATTGTACAACATACATGTTTAAGGACTTGGGTAACACGAGTTTGAATATATTAAAAATATGAAATTGTAGACACAGGCTCAGATATATACATACATCCACTTAAATCTTTGAATTAATGGTGTTGAAGGTTCTAACTTGACAAAGCAGAGGTCTATTAACTTCTCATTAGTGACTGTGATTGATTAGAGCTGGTAGTTCTTCTTTGCAGCATTTGGAAGTTAGAAAGGTTCTTGGAGCCATTTCTAAAAAAACTGCAGTTTTAAGATCAGCAGTTTGAACAACTGCATGAAAGTAAAAGTTATTCTGTCACTGCTTTGCTGAGGAAGACCCAAACTGTCATCGTCAGATGAGAGTAAACTGGTTAGGATGTTCAGGAACAACCACCAAGGCTCAAGCCTGCCATGAAACTGCCTGAACACCAGCATGGCTGATCACAGTGAAGCAAGGTTTACATCTTCAGGGATTGAGAAGATGCCAAAACAAGAAAGCCCTCCAAAAATCCAAAATCCAATGCTCCAACACCAACACCTTCAAGCTTGACTGAAATTTGAGACTTCCCCTTTACGGACAAGCCAAATGCCTTCTGGAGAAAAGCCTGATTGTTTGGTCACCATGATGTTTGGAGCACAGGTGAGTCATGTGGGTCAGGTCTGTCATGGTGGTGGTGCCATCAAACAAAGTGGATGGAATAATGAAGAAGAAGGACTATTCAGTTCAATTGTATTTATATAGCACCAAATCACAAACAAGGCTGTCTCAAGGTGATTTATACTGTAAGGTAAAAACCCTACAATAAAGACTATACACGTAGAAACTAATGGCCTCCCCAAAGCACCGACCTCGACGCTTTGATTTGAAAATTTGTGGATTACGATTAAAAGTCGAGTATGTGCCAGGAAACCAACCACTTTAAATTAATTCCACTGATTCTGCCATGAACAGCGGGCAAATGTCCAGACAGAATTATGCCAACAGGCTTGTTGATGGATACAAAAAACATCCGGCCGAGTTGCAACTCGCTAAGGGACTTTTAAACTGATATTAGTGGGAGTGAACCTATCATTTTGACCATGTGTGGCTTAGAGAAAATCAAAAAAACTTTATTTGTTTTTGTTTTTTAAAGTCAACAAAGATGTATGTTGCACAATCATTGAACCCTGGAGAAAAAACAGTTTGAAGGAATCATTAAAAGCCCAAAATTACCACAATATTCATGCGTGTCTGTAAACTTCTGACAACAACTGTAGAGAATAGAGGATCCATTTAATTAAACACTATATGGAACATACTAAAACACAACAGAGTGATCAGCTGCTTCCTCTCTGAGGTTGCTTTCATTGCACCTAGGCTCATTCATATCTATCTCCTGCAGTAAATAAATACTGTCTACGTGCAATCAATAAAACATACAACAGCCTACCTGTTGAAGACGCTCCTGCTGCTGATGGAACATAATGAGACAGATGGAAAAGATAGAGAGCTCAGTCAGTAATGGCTCTCTGTCACTCGTGTGTGATTAATACACCCACCCGGTGCAAACGAATCAATAAAAGCTTGCATACAGCATGTCTTCAGTCAAAGCAGAAAGCCCACAGCAAATACAGGTTAGATAAAGACATCATTCAAAATCATAAAGATGGATAAGCAGGCTTTTATTTTCTTGCCTCGTGCAGCAGTACCACACTGAACGCTGCTCTGTGTGGTACTTGAGCTGTTTTAAACATTACCCTGGCTTTCCCCGCAACCGTGCATCTGTTTAACAGATCACAGGACTCTTAAATCTGCCTGTGGTCTGGACGTTCCTTTCATTCTGAAATAGCCAGGATGTAACCATCTTTTTGTTTAAAAAAGGGGGGACATGTTTGCCTCTCGAGCCTTCTTACGATCATGTTGCAGTTCTGGAAGGGGCCGCATATATAACCGTCTGAAAGTAAGCATTGGAAGAAAAAAGCAAAGCCAAAACAGAAACCCAGAAACTCTGTTTTCCAGTGAAGATGCTGAAAGAAACGCACAAACATACAGAGCAGCAGCAGGAAGCTTTGGTCACTTTGAAAAATACACTTATCAGCTTTCTTCTGTGAGAGTTATCTAAGAATAAGAAGTCATAAAGGTTCCTCTGGCATCAGTGACGACTCACCATCAGCTTTTATGTCATTTTACAGCGTGCAAGGTTGAGCAGGGCGACTTTGAACCAAAATCATTACCCTTCTCTAAACCTCACCAAGTAGTTTTTGTGCCTAAAACTAACCAACTAACCAAACAATGTGTGAAAGCGAAAGAAAATGGATATGAAAAACAAAATCCACAGAAAAAAGTGAAGCTTGCAACAATCTTAACAACATTGGAGGACAATGTTGTTAAGATTGTTGCAAGCTTCACTTTCTGAGAATAACCAGAGTGTTTAATGGTCTGGGAAGAACGTGCTGAAACACTAACACTGTTCTCACGTCTGTACACGCAAAATAAAGACAATATTAGCTACAGTCAACCAGCTTAGCATATAATGAGCTATGTTATAATGGGTAACAGAGACAACTAGCTGACATGATAGTTATAGGTGCAAAATCATATAATTTTAACTCTGCTTTACTGCCGTGTCTCTTAATGCATATCTGTGGAGACAGAAGGTCAGTCCACTAATAAATTCATTAGAACTCCCCGAATTTTCAATTTGGTATCTATTTCCGATGGAATTTTCCTTTTTCTTCCTCTTCCCAAAATGGGATACCAACTTTGGTCTCCTGCATGCACTCAACCTCAGATTTTGTGAGCATTTCAAATGTGAATGAAGTCGACCTCTTCTGTAGTCTCAACCGGCAGATGGCCCCGCCCCTTCCTGAGCCTGGTTCAGCAGGAGGTTTCTTCCTGTTAAAAGGGAGTTTTTCCTTCCCACTGTCACCAAAGTGCTTGTCATAGGGGGTCTCTGTATGTATTATTTTAGGGTCTACCTTACAATATAAAGCACCTTGAGGCAACTGTTGTTGTGATTTGGTGCTATATAAATAAAACTGAATTGAATTGTAGTTCACATGAGAAAACCTTCTTTTAATAAATAACTGAGTGTTACAGGACTTGTCAGGGGGCCTCCTGCTTCCACTACATACATAGCCCACGTAAACAAGTGGAGTCTCATGCTAAGCTAAGCTAAACTAACAGCTGTAGCTGCACATCTCATCGAGTAAGTGTATTTCTCAAAATGTCCTGCTATTCTTTTAACGATGCTGGGGAAACAAAAGGAAGCACGAGCAGCAGAAAAGAGGCAGCAGCTCAGCGTCTGGAGGCGTACCGAGTTGCCCCTCGTCTTTGCTCACGGTGCTCTCTGTATCTTCAGCTCCTGCTTTCTCTGCAGGCGCCTCTGCTGTTGGATAAATGGATCTCAGTCAAACATCAACAGGAATTGTTAAAGTCTAATCTGACACTTCATCAGGTTCACACAGCTCAGGCTAATGTTGTGTTTACTACCACACGTCAGCAGCTTCAGAAGCTGTTAAAGAGATCAAGGAGATTTTTCAGCCCGATGACTTCCCACCTCGCTTCGCTTTGGAAAAGCTGTCAGTCTCAGTATTTATGATCAAAGCCTGCTCGACCCGGGCTGGAGTGACGCTACTGTGGCCACATCGTACAGGCACAGAGGGGCATTGTTTTCCATGTTAGTCACTGATCTGTTCATGTTCGCTGGCTCTTATTGCACTCTGTGTGGTAACAACACAACTCGCTGTAGAATCAGGCAAATCAAAAGGTTTTAGCAAGAAAACTCAAACTTGAATCATAAAAGTTTAGAGTTAGGGAGCAAAAGAAAACCAGCAAACCAAGACAAGCGTTTCTCTCAATAGAGCTCTAAATGAAGAAGATAAATCAAGTGATGATTTGCACACAAACTGAACCATGCTAAATAAGAGCTAAAACACGGGTTAAGCTGCAGCTCAGGCTTCATGTCAGAAGTGCAGGCAGGCGTACCGGGCTGCGCCTCGTCATCACAGTGGCTGCTGTCTGGCTGAGAGAGCTCAGACACAGAATTCACCCCATTCTCACTGAGTGCTGCTTCATCGTCTGCAAATCAAAGGTAAACTGGAGGTCAAAGCCGAGGTAATCGTGACAGAAACTTGGAAAAAACCAACCACACACTGCTTAGAGGTCAACTGTGAAGCAGAATTCAAAATGGTTAAAAGGCATCAGCGGCAGTCTGACATTTAAACCCAGAACCATGAAAAGTCTTCAGCCGGCTCTGTTTAAGGAGGTAACACATTTATTCACAGTCTACTCACCTTAAAACAATAAATACTGAACTACAGCAGAGCTACTGCCTCGATTTTCCAAAAAGGAAGACTATTTCTGGAACGATGCATTTAGACAGCATCGCCAGCCTCAGCTTGACTGAGGGCTACACGGCAGATTTGGATTATATTAAGGTCCGGTTTAGAAAACTAGACATATATTTCCTGGATTATACTGTTGTGTGTTCATCAGGTCATCCTCACATACAATCTGCTTCATGTAAAGACTTCAGCAAATCAACAAAAATCCAGACAGCCTAGACGTTTACCCCATTTTGTTAGTCACAAGTATCAGCAGTGTTGGGAGAGTAGATAAAAACAATAGCCTAAAATGTTTGTGTTTTATTAATGAATTATTTATAATAAATAAAAGTCTGGCAGTCAGTTTAGGTCGTATTTGGTGCCCTTGTTTTGCTGTACACCACTTACAGGATATCAGACTATCTTAAATTAATTAGATAATTTAATTAGATAATTATGTTTTTCAGATTTTGACACTAACAAATTTTAACGGGAAGGTTGTTTCATGTCTGCAGCATCCAGACACAGTGGGGATGTGTCACCAAGGCAACCAAAAAACGCCTGGAGGCGTACCACGTCTTTGATGACACCGCCAAAATGTTAAAATCTGTCCCGTTATGGACTCGGACAGTGTCTCTGCTACGAGCTGCAACCAAAAAGGAAAATCTTCACGCTGTGTACGTCGACGTGAATCAACACACCCGAGTCTAGAAAATCATAATCAGAAGCACAACTCTATTGTATTTTACTAAATTCTATCCTGGAGTTGGTTTTTATGAGAATGTCTTTTCTTGTCATGATGAGATGTTTTTAATAATAATGAGGGGATAAATGGAGACTGACTCTAAATATCTAAATATTTACCAATTATAAAACAATAATTTAATGTAGAGATTAACAATCTTCCCTGTTTATAATAAGATCTACTTACTTTACTATAAAATTACAAAAACCTCCAGATCTGTAACAACTTTGTGATACTGACATCCAGTAATGTAACTTAGAAAAGCCTCTAAATATCCACATTATGAGATTTTAACTCATTTTTATGAGACAATAAATTACAGGACAGGCTCTTGTGATTTTATCACTAGAGCTTTATCAGAATAATGAACTCTTTATGATTTCTCTTAATTGTTATTTATGTCATGCTGCTGTAATTCTGTAATTCTGTAATAAATCAACATTATGGGATTAATTATGAAACTCTGTTTATAATCTCTTAATTATCTAATTTTAGAATTGTTATTACAATAATATTTATGAGGCATTAGATCAGGAAAGTCTCTAACTCTCTTAATTATGACATTTTATAACTATGAGATTACAGTTGAAAACAAAATTAAAACACTAAATTATCTCTTGTTTGTATCGCACTTCCTTGCAGATCAATAGATACAGTTTTGAAAGCTCTAATTTTGTATGCATCACTCCAAAGAACTAAGCAAAGCACCTCTAAAGCATCAGATGGCTAAAAGCTCTAAAATATCCTAAACGAACTAATCTCACTTTACAAATACGTCACTTTCCACACACCACATCTGCTGCTTAAAGGGATACTCACTTTGTGTTTCACTGCTGATACATGTGTTGTTTACCCCTGCAGATGGACCTGACTCTGTGCGCTGCTTCCTGTTAGCACATAAGATGATGGGAAATGGAAACGGGGAGAACGAATGCACTAGTGAGGGCTGTAAACTGGGGAAAGCTAGGCTACGTACTAATTAGCCATGTGGTTGATTTGGGTAGATTAGAAAAAAAGGGGAGAACATATTGCTGAGAGGTCTGACACTGATTATTCGCTCTGTGACGAATAAATCTGTCCAAACACAGTGAAGCAAACACGATGCATCTTTAGCCATTTATCTGCTCTTCGTTTACGTTTCAGGCATCAAATGGAGCTTTCTGAAAATGCTTTCTGTGCTGCGTTAAAGGCCCGATTGTTTATGGACTGAATTGCGAGCGAACAGTGGAGCTGGATGGAGACGGGGCTCTTTCTCAGGGGTCTGACCCAGATGCCCGGATTACAGAGCACAGTGCAGCTGCAGTCGAGCATGTCTTCTATCCATTATGTAAGAGATTAAAACAAAGCTCTGTAGAAACTCAGGAGCTCGGCCTCCACCCAGACGACAGTGAAATTTGGTTTAACTCTACATTTAAATTCTTCTCTTTGACATTCTTTGATGTCTATTCTAGGATTAAAGCTTTAATTAGAAACCCTTTACCTGTGAGCCCCACACACAGCTAATACATGCATTTCATACATTTTTAAAACACATTAAATTGTAGTTTAATGTAATAATTAATATAAAGCATTTAAATCCTCTAATGAAGACAAACTGGATTTTACAATTTGGCAACTGTGTTTAATTAAGATGTCATAATCTGTTTACATAACAGCCTCTTTCCATCAGTGCTACAAAGGAAAACGACAAATCATTTACTCCAGGCTTTTATATGCTTATAAATGCTAAATAGGTAAGAAACTTAATAATAAAAGTGTTTATTGCACAAAAGAGCAAAGCTGTTTATTCTTTAGCACAAAGTTTCATTTATATTTAAATATTAAAACATTTTACATAACTTCCTCTCAAACATGCTGTAATTTCAGAGACATTTTTACAGTTCGCTATAATTAGCAGCTAGCTCAGTCTATGTGATGTGATCATAGAGTTTGATTACAGCCTGCTAACGGCTCTCCTCCTATTTATCCACATGTAACATTTAGCCTCAGTGTTAGCAGTGACGCAGTGATCAATCAGTCAGTTTTATTACCGGGTGGGATCATGGTGGCTACGTCCATCGTTGATCCCTTTTCAGGAAGCTGTTATTAACACAAGGAAGATAATACCTCAGAGGTTTTATTGTTGTGGGCACCTCACAAACCTTTAGAGCTTAACTGCAGATGAAGAGCAATTGACAACAAGTACGAATTTAGCATTTTTCACATTTCATAATCAGACGGATTTTTGTTGCTGGTGAACAAAATGAGTTTGTACTTCTGTAGGTCAGTTTTCATCAGACTAATAATATAAAGTCTTCGGGTATATTCAGAGACAACACGTTCTCACTCCCAAAGCGTAACATTTTACGCTAGGTGACAAATCGTCAACATATTACGTTTTCGGCTACCCGCCACGTTCCTAAATGACGACCTCAGAAAAATGAGGAAATGTGAGAACCGTATGGACTCAATCTACACATGTTCGCTCTTTTTCTTCAAATCGCTTAGAAACACATGATTTAACACATATTTAACATGATTAAAGTCCTGGTTAAGGTCAGGAAAAAGGTTAGGTTTAGGGCTGGAATACAGGGCTGGAACGTCTATTACTGTGGGAGCGTCATTGCACTGGATTTCGGCCATAACCTGCCGCGTACCATAAGAACGCCGAAGGTCAAAACGTCGTGACAAAACGTCGGCATGTTACGCCTCGGGAGTGAGAACGGGCTGTCAGAGAACGTGTGGTACACACCAGCACTGGACACTCGACTGTGAGCCTCAGTGCAGGTGGACAACGGAGGGAAAATATGGAATGATATTAAAATGATTCATATTACACTGATTTTTACTTAAAGTTCAACTTAGCTAAGTTTTTGCAGTTAATTATTTGTGGTAATAAAAGTAAGTGATAAAAAGGAGGTGATAGATCATCGATAGGCCTCTCCTGTTCCTACAGTCTGAGCTGAACATATAAAGCCCTCACACGAGCTGATCCCGGATATTAAACCAAAACCAACGCGATGGCTCACTTGCACAGTTTTTCCTCATACTACAAAAACCACATTTATACAAAAAAGTTGCCGTTGTCTCAATTTTTTCCTTAAAAATAATACTTTTCCAAGAGTTTCCAGAGGTGTTGTATCACGTTGGATCCCCCTGATTGCATAAACCCGCTCTATGCTTTTATACTGATGAAGAGTGGGGTCATGTAATTTCCTGTCTTCCCTCTACTAGAGGGGCGGCTAGCTACGATCAATGAGAAGCGTGGAATTGACAGATTCTTTGGACGTGCACCATCAGATAATCTCTCGTATCCTTGGAAACTGAACATGCGTAGGTCTAACAGCACAAAAATAGCATCATCTCTACTCGTGCTGTGAGAAATAATGGTTTGCAGACAGAAGAAAAGAAAGCTGCTCATTGTTTAATCCAAATCATCTGCCAACCAAAGTGCAGCAACATCTCACAGCTCTCTGTCATCAGACTGATTTCAGACCCACCAGTGGAGCTCAGAGGATTCACAAGGTGAGCTGAAGCTGGAAAAAGATCTCATTAAAGACACTTTCTTGTCATTTTTAGTGAGTTTGCATTTGTGTGTTGGGTCCTATTTTGCTTCCAGACTGTATTTCTAATGTCTGACCTTTCATTTTGACTCCGTTCTCCTGGTGGTGCTGATCCTTGATGGTCATGTTGGCTAAGGAGCTGCTCATGGTGTCTCCAGAACTGTAGCTGTTCGCGTTGTTCACGTACTCCATTGCCAGTCGCGGGTCGGGCTGCAGGAAGAAAAAAGCAAATTAATGAAGTACTGAAGGTCCAGGGTGTGTCACGTTACACATGTCAGCTGAAAGTAGCTGACAAGCAAGAAAATGGCTGTAATGATGGCGCACTTAACAGACACTTTGTCTTCCGGCCTGCAGAACAAGCCCGTCACCACAGAATGTAAACAGACACTGTGCCTGTGAAAACCTTGTTATTTATACATCCTGACGTGGGGTCAGCGCTTCAGGTTACAGCCTCACAGACAAAAATAGTGCCCTCTGCCCATGTGCACGCTGTCCTCGCTGTGACAGGGCTGCACTTCCTAAACACCCACTGACTAACTGCAACAACAAGTGCAGCCACGTCTCAGCCGTGGCAGGCAGGTCATCAGGATGCAAACGCTCCCCACTGTACAACACAACACTGACGCTCCTTCAACCGCCGAGATGTGAATTGCGTCCAATCTCATAAAAAGAGGATTACATGTCAGATTAAACCCGAGCCTCTGGTTACATCAGCGCTTTTCAGCTTGAATCATATTTTTTCCCTCTCCTCTGACACAAACACACACACGCAGACAGTGTGGACAGCTTATGCCGTAATCAGTCTGTGCATCCAAACTGCATGCCCCGAGTTTGTTTGGTGATGCAGATTTGGCAGCTTCTGGCCTTCGGTTTCACCCTCATGTCTACTTTGGCACATAAACATGACACTTTAATCTCTGAGATGTACAATACAGCTTAAAGCGGCTATTATAGTAGCACATAAAATTGTCAAAGTAGTCACGGAAATAAAACAGCAAGTGCAAAAACTGCTGCTTCTAACTCAGTGAGGGAAAGTGGATTTCCTCAAGAATGAAAGTGAAAGTTTGGCCCATTTAATGCTTTATCCTTCTGGGCTTTTCTCTGTTACTGCATTTATTCAGCCGATACAGTTACTCGTTACTTTACAGATTAAGATTTATACATGAAAATACTATGAGCAGCTTATAAAATCGTAATAACCTCATGAACGCTTATTAAAAAAAAAAAGAAAAGAAAAACCTGCTCCATCTTCTGCTGCCCTTACTTTAGCTCGATGCTACCGAAATGTCCAGACCTCGCTCACACTAACCACCTCCCCCACTTCTTTCTGGGAGGTTCTGCCCACAGATGTAAGTTAGCTGAGAGACAGAGTGTCTCTATGCCCTGGATCTGCTGCTGGGCCTCCTCCTCATCTAAACACATCACCCAAGAGTTGTTCAGGAGCATGCCAGCCGCATACGGAAACACCTGAACTCTCTGCTTTTACTGAACACAAATCTCACGAATTCCTGTGACGCCACCTGATGCAAACGTCGTCTTAAGAGCAGCAGCGCCTGAACTGTTGCTATGGTTACCCACCCTATAAAACCCACCCTAAAGGCACGCTCAGCCCAGCTATGCGACCTTCCCTCTGTGTACCTTCATGTCTCCTGACCTTGGGTGTTTAAACAGCGCTCCACATTCAGCACAGATGACAGAAAAGGGACAAGGTGGAAACAAGATCAGGCTTAAGCACCACAGAGAGGCTCGTTTTCACAAAGAAGCTCGATTCTCCTCATAGTTCACACAGAGAATTCATCCAATCACCTGCTGTGAGTCAAAGCCTGATAGATATTGTCTGTAAAGGTTCTCAGTCATCCAGGTCATCGTAGTTACTTGTGAATAGTGAGTATTTCCAGCAGAAGAAGTGAGGCAAAATAAAGTGTGGCACTCACTTCTATAGAGGAATAAGATCTATCAGGTCTAAGGAGCTTGGAAAGAAAAGCATCTGGACTTCTTTAAGTTTCTTGTAGACGTTTCACCTCTCAACCGGGAAGCTTCTTCAATTCTAAGAGTCCCCAATTTTAAGCCCAAGGTGTGAAAACAGGCACGGGTCACAATTTACTGAGGTCAATCCTGGGCCATTTGACCTTAGTAAATCACATGATAGAGTGGGGCTAGGTTTCACACAGGGTTCACCCACACCAGTTTTCACTCCTTGGCTCATGTGATTAGACAGAGGATCAATACGGGGCTCCCATAGGGCTTAAAATCTGGGACTCTCCACATTTGCTCTTAGAACTGAAGAAGCTTGGGCTTTCTTTAAGTTATTAAAAACTCGGCCATGTGGAGCTGAGCTACCCAGATAAGTCATTTATACACCCACGACGTAGCTGTTATGTTCATTACCGAATGACTAAGATAAACCTTGTTATAGGACAAAAACAGGAGAGATGGTTCAACAAAAAGAGTCACAAATGTGTGTGATGTACACACAGTATGCTTAGTGTTTAACAGTGAAGGGCTACTTAAACTGTTGTAGCTCACTGCCAGGAGCGAGAAAAGGTGGATGTCAGCTGGAGCCATCCAAAGGCCCAATCCAAAGAGGGCAAACTCTAATGGGCCAATCACAGGACTCCACCTGTCTCAGCATTAAACACAGACTCGCACACTGTCTGGAGAAGCACACCTTAATTTTTCATGTCAACATTAGCCAAGTTGTTGCCATTTCACTCAGCTGTACAGTGGATAAGCTGGTTTCTCAGCTACAGCTACTTTGAGTAGTCAAATTGAATAGAAAAGCGCCAGCCTGTTTATTTGTACTTTAATGATAACAACAACTACATGGATTAAAAACAGTTTTATTCTGACAAAAAAACTCATTAACATAGGAGGAGGTCCTAATACATTATATAAGTGTGTATCCCATAGGAGCTCTAATGAATAGTGCACTCTCCCGGTCCTCACACACAGTTCCCCAACAAAACCCTTCATTGTAGCGTTACACATGACAGAATCCAAACAACAAGGAGAAGGCAGCACTCGTGCCAGCAAAGACAATCCCTCCGAGAGGTCGTTCACTCTGCATCCGGGAGCTCAGACGGTTGGAGAGCAAACAAACTCGAGTCTGATAAGGAGCAGATCCTTCAGATAATCATGTGTACACGAGCACTGTACGTTAGTGTGAATCATATCCTCTGCCTGAGACAGTAAGGCCAGAATAAAGAATCTATAGCTCAAATACATAACAGATTCACCACATCTAATTTTAAAAATAGAGGCGATCTTAAACCCGTTATCAGAAATGCTCGGGCGGAAGCAGTCCTGTAAACTCTCCTTCCCAAGAGCATTTCACTAATTTCGGTCCTCTGCAAACTTTACAACAGAAACACTTTAGATGGGACCAGCACCTCCTTAATGATTTGAACAGGGACAAAAACACACACACACATTTCACCTGCTGCAGAAAGGGAACGTGACAGCAGTCTTTGTCGCAGCTTCATGAGGGGGAAAAGCCTCAGAGGGCTGCTGATGCAGCTTGTTCCTCTCAGGGGCGTGTGAAAATGTGATCTTGGCACAGACCGTGCCTCTGCAAGGAGCTCGGTCAACAGGGATGTTGACACAGCTCCAAGAGCTCTGAGCACTCAGTGAGGCAAGCAGTCTGAAATTAGGTGTGTGTGTGTGTGTGTGTGTGTGTGTGTGTGTGTGTGTGTGTGTGTGTGTGCATTTAGCTCAAATTTAGAGCAAGATGCACTTTATTTCCTGTGTTTCTGCTGTTTCCCCTAGTGCGACAATTAAGATAAGTTTGAATCCCTGCAGAATTCCTGATATGTTGCTCATAAAGATTAACCATAAATTGTATATAAAGCTGCAGCCGCACTTTGGCCACTGTCATGTTGGCTTTTAGGGCCAAGAAGGGACCATATTTAAATGTTAATGGAGTGCTAAGTCAGCAGCTAGCAGTAGACACAGGTATCTGTTAAGTGCTTCCAACTAACCAAACAATAAAACTGAAGAATTTCATTAATCAAAAGTGAAACACAAACTACTTAGATGTGCTGCGCCATGTATTATTTCCCATTAAACACTTTAGCAGCACCAACAGCTTAAACACAATCGAGTGGTGAGGACACCTGCCAATCAAAGAAACCACGCCCATAACTGCAGAATCCAGAGAGACGAGTTATAAAAAGGTTACCCTGTCAGCTGTTATATCTGTAACAGGCTGCAAATGTTTATTTCTGATATAAAGTTGGCTACTAGAAGAACTCCAAACCTGCAAGTCATAATGATCCAGAGTTAAGTGGACTCAGATTTGACTTTACAAACAGTTTGTGCAGCTTCCTTTATAATCTGAACATGTAGAATTACAAATATGCAGCAATCTGGGGACACTTGAATAATGAAAATTATGAAATTGCATTATTCTTAAAGCCAGCCCAAAAAACAGAAAAATATAAAAGGTTTTAGTTGCTAATTATCCTTTATTGACAAATAATAATGAGGGTCACTGTCTGTATAAGTGGATGAGTGCCAGCACGGGTCCTTAGCTGCCCGTTACGGATCATCTCTGCTAATTTGAGTAACTGAGCTGTGCCTCTTAACTGTGTTTGTGCTTTCTGGAGCATTTTAGTGCAGCGGTCCCCAACCTTTTTTGCGCCACG